CTTGCCTCAGTTTTCTCAAATGTAAAATGAGGATAATAATAGCATCCACCTCCCCAAACTGTTGTAAGGATCAAAGTGCTTTTAAAGTGCTTGACACAGTGCCTAGCACATAGCAGGCTCTTACCTTCTTCTGGTTTCAATAAAGTATTTAGATACAAAATAAATCTACAAAATCATCAGCATTTATATGTAGCAGCAACAGTAAATAATAGAAAAGTAAATTCTATTTTAAAAAACCACATGAAATGTCTGAGACTTAGTCTATCAAGATTTTCACAAATACAATTAGAGACCATTTTCAAGAACTAAAGTCTGATTTAAATGATTAGAAGTCCTACAGTAACATAACAAGCCTCCCCGTGAAGCAGTTGGCTCTCTCTTTCCCACAATAAACATGTATCATATTATTCATTGATAATGGCTGGGCTGGGCTAATATAAGAAAAATACTATCTAAATTAATCTGGCAATTTAGTACTATACTAAAGTAGCAAGCAGAATATTTTATTAAATAGTTATCATATCCAAGATATATAGGTAACTAACACAAAAGACAAAAAGCCATCCCAACAAAGATCCAATGAATATACGGTTAAAGGATGCTAATAATCCTTAGCTTTGCAAACTATTGTCAGTCATGTGAAAAATTGTTCCAAATTACTAAAAATAAGAAAAAGTAAAATCAAAACATGAGGTCTTACCTTATTTCTGGCAAGCAGGCAAAGATGACAAAATATGGGAATAGTCAGTGTTGGACTGCGACATACATACATACTTGGTGGAACTGTGAAATGATCTAACCATTCTGGAAAACAATATGGCATTGTTGTTGTTGCTGTTTTTAGGTACCTAAAATGTCCACATTCTTTGACCCAGGGCTCCTACTGCTAGACATATGCCTCAAAGAGGTCAAAGAGAGAAATGAAGGTCCCAAATTGTCATAACAACACTTTTTTTATGGTAGCAAAGAACCAGAAACAAAGTAGGTCTGGCAAACAGCTAAACAAATTGTTCTATAAGACTGTAATAGGATATTACTGTTCCATCAGAAATGACAAATATAAAGAATTTAGGGGCCCATGGGAAGACATTTATGAACTGATGCAATGTTAAGTAAGCCAAGCCAGGAAAACAATATACACAGTGAGTACAGCAATGTAAATGGAAAGAACAGCAAAAACTTAAATGTGATTTAATAATGACCAGCTTTGGTCCAGAGGAGAGTTGAGAAAACATTACCTCCTTCCCTTCATTGACGATGTGGAGAGGACTCTGGAGATTGACTACCGCACAGACTCTCAGACCAGGGACAGGTTGGTCAGTTTTGCTGAACTGCTTTTCCCCCTCTTATTCTTTTAAAATCTTTGTTACTAGAAAGAGCTTGTTAAATTAAAGAAAGATATATTTGGAAGTGAATGTGTTGTAAAAACAAAGGGCATCAAGGAAACAAGATTTTAAGACAATTAAGAGAAGTAATATGGGTAGCCAAAAATATGCAATGCTTGAATTGGGAAACCTGAGTTTGAATTCCGACTCTAAAAATTATTAGCTATGTGATCAAAAGCAAGTGACTTCTGGGCCCCAGTTCTCTCAGTTACTACAGCTGTAGTAACTACATCAAGGTTGTTGTGAAGATCAAAATGTACATAAAGGAATCCTTGAAGTGCCATTTGACACCACCTATTCCAATTTTATCATTCTTCTGTTCAAAACCCAGAATAATCTGCTCTTTTTTGGATCTAGAATAAAATCTGGACTCCTTAGCCTGGTATTGAATACCCTATACAATCTGGCTCCAAATTCCTTTTCCAGGATTATTTCATAGTTTCCCTTCATACACTCTACATTCCAGCCGAAGTGGCCTGCAAGCTGTTCCCTGGACTTGATATGCCATTTCCTGTCCCCAAGTATTTCCAAAGGTCTCTGGAATGGTCTATCTTCATCTTTGCCTTTCAGAATCTTCAAAGCTCAGCTCAGATGCTACCTCCTCCATGAAGCCTTCTCTGATTCCTCATCCCATCCTCAACTGAAAGTTTTTTCTCCCTACTGAAATTTATGCTGGTTAATCTCCACTGGAACCTGACTGCAGCAAGACTCCTCTTCTTTCTCCTCCCTTATCGATTCCCCAACCTAGTAATTCCTCTCTATTTGATTTCCCCATCATATTCACAAGATCTGTTGCAAATCTTCTCTAATCTCCTCAAGCCACTCACATCGCACCTTCTCTTCACCCTCTCAGCTAAGGGCTTTGCCTCTTGTTTCATTGAAAACATTGAGGCTATTCACTGAGAGCTCCCTCTTCTCCCTTCCACAACATCTCACACCTTCTGACATCTTACCCGACTATGTCCTTATTCACAAGCTCTGAGGATGATATGGCCCTTCTGTTTGCCCAGGTCAATCTCGCTATATTACTTTGATATCATCCTTTTCCATTTTCTCCTGTAGATTGTCCCTCTCATCCACCCTCTAATCTTTAGTCTCTATTTACACATTTCTGCAAATATGCCCAAATCTCACTCATTCTTAAACAAAAAGCCCTCACTGGATCCTACCATGCCCACCAACTACATCTTTCATCTCTCCTCCCCTTCTTGGCTAAACCTGAAAAAGCCATATATATTCAGTACCTCCTCTCACTCCCTCCCAAACCCCTCTGCAATCTGGCTTCCAACCTCATTCTTTAACCAAATGGCTTTCTCTAAGTTTACCATTAATCTTTAAATTACCATTAATTTGCCATTAACTGCCAGATCTAATGACATTTTCCTGATCTCAATCCTTCTTGACTTCAGCATTTGACATTAATGACTACCTTTTTCTCCTGCATATATTCTCTCCCTTATTGCCCCTCTTTTCCCCTCCACACCACTTCACATCCTTTTTAAAATTTATTTTTAACATTTACTTTAAAAAATTTAAGTTCTGACTTTTCATCCTCCCACTCCTCCCCCACCCATTATCAAGGCAGGAAATGTGATATCAGTTATACATGTGAAATCACACAAAACATATTTCTACATTAGGCATGCTGCAAAAAAAAAAATAATAAATAAAAGTAAAAATAAAAATTAACTTAACAAAAAACAAGAAAAAGAAAGTGAAAAAATTATGCTTCAATGTGCATCCAGACTCCATCAGCTCTTTGTCTGAAGGTGGACAGCATTTTTCATCACAAGTCCTTCAGAACTGTCTTGGATCATTGTATTGATCAGAATAGCCACGCCATCCACAGTTGATCATAAAATATTGCCTTTACTGTGTACAATGTTTTCCTGGTTCTGCTCACTTCACTTTGCATCAGTTCATATAAGTCTTCCCAGGTTTTTCTGAAGCCATCCTGCTAGTCATTTCTTATAGCACAATAGTATTCCATTGTAATTATATACCACTTCACATCCTTGTGACATCATCCAGATGCGGCCCTTCAAAATTTCCTTTGCTGCATTTTCTTTCATGTCCACTTCCATTTCTCTGGCTGCATTCACTTTGGATTTGACTTCTCTACCTTAGTCCCCAGTAAACTCATCATTGGGAAATCTCACCATCTTATAAGATTGCATCAGCCTTGGTACTCACACCTCACTGATACCCTCTGCCTCTGATTGGAGGGTGGAACCATGAGTTCCTAATTCTCCATTTAAGGAGGGAAGGTAAATGTGGCATTTCAGACATCTCATTTCACATCTAGCTGCACTTAATTTGGACCTGACTTTCAGTCCCCAGGTACCTTCCCCATCCTACCTCCTTTCAGTTTTCTTTGATGTGTTGCCTTCTCCACTAGATTGTAAGCTCTTTGAGGGCAGGGACTTTTTTGTATTGTATCCTCAAAAGCTTAGCACAATACCTGGCACATAGTTGGCACTTAATAAACGTTTATTGATATGATGTGAAGCCCACTAACTGTGGGTGTATCCCAAGGCTCTGTCCTAGGCCCTTTTCTTTTTCTCTCTCTATTCTCATGCGAAGATATCAGCTCTCACGGGTTCAATTATCACCTCTATACAGATGATTCCAAAATGTACTTATTCAATCCTAGTCTTTTTCCTCAGCTCCTGACCTACCTCACCAACTATATGATCCATAGGAATCTCAAACTAAGAATGTCCAAAATGGACCTCATTATCTTTCCCTCCAAATCTACTCACCCTTCTCCTGAACTTCCCTACCACTATCAAGGGCACTACTATCCTTCTAGTGACGCAAGTTTGCAACCTCAGTGTTATCTGAGATTCCCCTCTCACTCCATATATTCAATCAATTACCAAATCTCATAATTTTTCTCAACGCTATTTCTCACATACATTCTATTCTCTTCATTCATACCCTAGTTCAGACCTTTATCTCTTCTCATCTGGACAATTGCAACAGATTTCTAACTGGACTGCCTACCTCAAGGCTCTTCCTCATTCTAATCCATTCTTCACATAACTGCCCAAGTGATTTTCCTACAGTTCAGGGCTATGTCATGCTCTCCCCAAGCCCTAAATAAACTTCAGTGGCTTCATTTTACTTCTGAGATCTGTTTGGCACTTAAAGCTCTTCAAAACCTGGTTCTCCTTCAAACTTTTCCAGTCTTTTAACACATTACTCCCCTCTCCACAATTGGCCTTTTTACTGCTTACTTCCTAACATACAACGCTCACTCCATCTCTTACACTTTTCACTAGCTACCTCCCATGCCTAAATTGTTTTTCCTTCTAACTTTCACCTTGTGGAATCCCTGGCTTCTGTTGAGACTCAGCTTATGCATCACCTCCTCCAGGAGGCCTTTCTCAGTCCTTCCAGCTACTAGTGCCTTCCCTTTTAAGGCTTCCTTCCATCTACTCTCTATATTGTGTGTACCCATTTATGCATGTGTCATCTCTCTCATTAGAATGTATATGCATGTTTAGAAGAGTCAATTTTATTACAGCAAAATAATCAAAATGATTTTCATGAATTAGGGAAAGGGCTAAACGGACATCAATAAAATAGAAAAACAATATAGTGACATTTCTGATCCAGACAAGATTTATTAATAACATTTTGGTTACAATATTTTACAATTACACACATGATTCCGAATAGCAAAATACACATTTCAAAACCCATTCAAATACAGGGACAATTATTTGAGAATATAAATACATACAAAAAATTTACAAAGCCTTTAAAAAGTTCTAACTGATATAATCCTGGGTTTAGACAAGATGAGATAAAGATTAAAATAATGAATGTGAAGACAAAACCTGCCTTAGAGAGGTCATATGAAATAGTAAATTACTATGCTGATATTTTAAGAGGCACACTAAATGTGTGCTACTTCTAAGCAAAAAATAAAGCATGCAAAAATATCCAGACTTCTGAAAAACTTGGAAGGTGAAATTACAATATAAAGCATTTATAAAAAATATCATATTAAGGTTTAGAAAAAAAAATACAGCTCAAATGCAACAAAGCCAATTCAATTTGGCACATGTTGAAAATAACATTCATATCATGTAATGACTAAGGTATAATGGCAGAAGCTCGTTGGAAGTCTCCCATTAATAAAGCAATTATCAGATACATGCATTATACCAAATAGCCAATTTCTGCAAGACAAGTAATGTGTCATACCAGGATATAAAAAAAAGGCAAAGTGCTTGTGTTGTTTAAAAGAATTGCTTTCCAGGAACTGTTCAATATCATGAAAATGGTATCTTCAGCCCAACCACACAGAACCACAAATTACCTACATTTTTCAAGCAGTTCAAAGACATTTAATTTTATCTTTTACATAAGATCCGACAATTAAATGACCTTCTTGTTCCCATGCCCAAGTGTCTCAAGGGCTTCAGTTTCTGTCCAACTACAAATTCTTCTTTTAATCCATAATGAAACAATTGTGCCACCAGTAAAAAGTCCTACCTTTGATTCCGTAGGTTCTTTCAGTAGCAGGCTCAGATTGTGGCATCAGGATGCAATTTTTAATTAGGTATAAAAGATCTACTAAAAAGGAGAGAAAATGTCCCTCCTATTAGAATGTAGATTTGGATATTTAGGTGGAAAGGTGATTTTCTTCAGTTAACTAAATCACTGTTTAAGGAAACAAAGACTCATTTGTTATCATTCTCCAGGATAAGAAAATGAGACTCAATACCAATTATAAACATTGATGATTTAAAGAATTGGACATTCCCTCCCAAATTTTCAGAAAATGGTATCTAGAGTTTAACTTCTGACCCTATAGCTGCTTTAAAGTCATCAAGAGAAAATGTAAGACGATGATACACTAAGATAAAGGGTCCTACAAATGTATGCACAAATATATTCTATCTTTTCTTACTTGCATTAAAATTCAGACATTATCTTCATTCATAAGATCCTATAAATACTGCATAGGTGCACACACATTTTAAAAAGCAAATATGACAGAAAATTCATTCCTACTGCTTACCTAAACACTGACACTTTTAGTAAGGACTAGGAGGAAATCATTAGTATATAACAAAGTGAGAACATAAAATACATATATTTTGATAAATGTCCTTACAGCTAGGGAAAATTAGGAAAGCTCCTGAGTATTCTATTGATGCAAGTCCTCAAGAAGAATAATAGCTACAATGCAATTTAAATTACCAGAGCTAAGTTCTCATTAGCCACCCCCTTAAAAGGCATATTCCTGTTATTGTCAAGTTTTCACAAACCCTTCTTAGCTGAAAAGACAAGATATACATACACATTTCACCAACTGCTCATATTTCCAACCTTTAAAGAATCAGTAAATATAGCTAATAAATCAGTGAATAGGTATTTCAGTTAACAGCTAGTATCAAAACCTCAAACTCCTAACACCTCAAAGCAATGTACTTCCATCAGAGGCTAAAGACACGACCATGCATTTGGTCTTGGATTCCTTGTTCCATTTTGTCATAATATTTGGGGATTTTGCAAGAACTCACAATTAACCAAGGGCTTGTTTAATAGGTTATCTTAGATGTGCCTAACGATTTATCATCAAGGAGAAAATTGTCAAGTGACTTTGTGGGTGTCACATACAGATATTTATTTCTTTTAAAATAAAGATTCCATAATACTTTACTTTCATATGGTAAAGGTGTTCTTCAGACCCAACATAATGTTAACTGATACATTATGAACTTCTGTGAGGTACTGAGCTTTTTTTTCTTATGCAAAACTTCCTCCTACATTAACGAAGTAGTTTATCAAGTTCTTTTTCATTCTTGGGTAGTCACAAAATATATACACACATGAGTTTATACCCACTGGATAGTATTGGGTGAAAGTTCCCCTGTGCAAAGAGCAGAAGATGGAGTCTGGAGTTTATAGACATGTTTTGGTACAACTTTACTCCTAATAGATTCAGCTCCTATTAGTTTATGTTTTTCTTCATCCTCACTATTCTGTTTAGATATTTCCTTGGGTTTTAACAAGTCAAGTCTTTCTTCAGATTCAAAATCCAAGAGAAATGATTTCGCCAGAGACTGTAATCCCCTGGAGGCAACATCAGATATTCTATCATCATAGGTATTCGTTGAATCAGAAAGTGATGTAAACAGACTGAAGTTATCATTAAAATGCCTGGACAAGTTGCAAATATTTTCAACACAACTCTTGAGCAGAATAACATCACCACAGGATCCTAATCCTATGTAGGAAAAAAAGCAAACTAATTAATTCTTAAGTTTCTTAGACATTTCTAATATTTATATAATAGCAATGATTTTTTTAGGTTAAATATAAGGTGAGTGCATCAAGACATTTAAAAATGATAGGAAGGAATGGTCCTTGTTATCAGTTTTATTAGTTAACAAGGAATTATTTATTAAATATTTATTAGTTAGCAAAGACTATTTCTTGCTAACTAGTAAATCTTTGTCTCTGCAGTACAAGTCACTCCATAGCCACCTTTAATTATATGGGCTTTTATTATCTGAATAGAAATCATTAAATATCACAACTAATACCCAGACTTAGTTCATATCACTCCTGTACTTCAAGGTGTAGATAACACTTGAGCTGAACATTGAAGGAAGAAAAAGATTCTGAAAGGCAGGAAGGAAGACAGAGTATATTCCAGGTATTGAAGGATAGCTTGAATGAATGCACAGAGGTGAGAGGTGTCAGGTTGACACCAGACTAGTAGTCTAGTTTGACTGGAATGCTGAGTACGTAAAGGGGAATAATGGCAAATATGGCTGGGAATGTAGACTAAAGTCATATCATGGAGGTTTCAACTATCAGGATGAAGAGTTTGTATTTTATCCTACAGACCAGTGGTGTCAGGTTCAAATAAAAATGAGGCCACTAAACTGTACATAAGGAACTCTATAGGTGCATATTAACTTAGAAAACTATATATTAACATTATGTACATTTTATTGTATTTTTATTTATTTTGCTAAATACTTCTCAATTGTAATCTGTAATATGGGTCTAGTGGCAGTTAGCCATATTGTGGGCTGCATGAGGTCGCAGCTATGTGTGTGGGGGACATTTCTGCTCTAGACATCAGTAAACCACTGAAGATTGCTAAGCAGGGGAGAGACATTATCATGCTTTTGCATTAGGGAAGATTACTAGAGAAGAAACAGACTGGAGGCAAGAAGACCAATTAGAACATTATGACAGACCAAGTGAGAGGTGAAAGTCTAAACTGGTATGACAACATGAGTAAAGAAATGGAAGTGGAACTGGTAACTGACTGGATATAGAAGATGAGGGGAAAAGAAAAATCACAGAGAATATTGAGGTCAGGAGCTTGGGTGACTGGAAGGATGTTAGTACCATCAACAGAAAAAGGGAAGTTAAGAGGAGGGATAGGTTCAGGAGGAGAGAAATTTAGTTGTTTTGGGCATTTGGAATTTGAGGTACTGGTGGGACATCCAGAGAGACATGCCTAGTTAGGAGTTGTATGACTACACGTATACATTTGGGATTCATCTGCAGAGAGGTAAAATTTAAACTTATGAGAGTGCATGACATTTTAAAGGAAGAAACTATAGGGAAGAGGGCTAAGGTCTCAGCTCAGGGGAAGCCTAAGAAGTGAAAGAGGCTTATAAACCAGAGGAGGAAAAAAGGAAACAGTCAGATAGGTAGGAGAAAATCAGGAGAGTGCTGTCACAGATATCAATTAAGGAGAAAAGATGCAGGAAAATGAGTTGTCAACAGCATTAAATGCTGCCAAAAAAGTCAAGCAGGAAGAAGGCTGGAAAAAAAAAACAACCAAAACTAACAGATTTAGCATTTTAAGAATCTACTAGTAACCATTAGAAACAATATTAATAAAATGGTAGACTTAAAAAGCCAGAGTGCAATGAATTGAGGAAAGAATGCATACTAAGGAAGCGGAGGCCACACTTTCCCCTATTTTTTCAGAAGTGAAGTAGAACAAAAGCATGAAGATACTGCAGAGTTAATTCCAGGTTTTTTGAGGATAAGGGAGATGAGTAGCAGGTGCTAAATAAATTAAAAGTTGAAGTGGAAATGGGTATCAATTAATATTATGTCAATTATGTCAGTAACTATACTTGAAATTAAAGTTGATGAAGGTAAGCAAGAGTCAGCTACTACTGAAAGGATTAATGAAAGTGGAAGACAAGTGCGCTTACAATAAGATGTTTTGATTAAAACAATGAATCTCATTTGGGGTAAATACCTTTCAATGTAGAAATAACAATTTGACTAATTTGCTCTAAGCAATGCTTCAACTTCAAGAATTCTGTAGCAAGATTAATTAGCTTCTTCACATCTTGATATACTGACTCCTCTTCTTTAACTTGAACTCTAAAATCCTTCTGTATTTATAAAGCAAAGTTTATTGAAAATATGCAGTAGAATGACAAAGCAGTAAAACTTTATCAAAATGACTTTCAAGGACTATAATCGTATCACTGTTAAGTAGTTTTGAAATCAAATTGTGCAACAATACTTTGAATGTTAAGAAATGTCAAGATAAAATTATAAAGCTATGCTTCAAATGAAATAAGAATTCCCTCTTAAAATTTAACTTAAGCTGTTTTATATTATTCTGTAACAAAAAAGTTGTCTTTAATGAAAAAATGGAGAAGGGATAGTGGAAGAATGCTGAGGTAGTAGAAGGATAACTTTGCTATCTGACTTGGCAAGGAAAATCTTTATTATTATAAGATGACACTTGTAAGACGCCTACTAAACCAATATAAATGAACTGAGGTCTTCTGATCTTCATAAAAATTTAACATTGATAGGTCAATTTAATATAAACTTCCCTTGTACATTTACAGAGAAACACAATATTGGAGCTAGTAGGGACCTTAAAGATTGACCAATCCAACCCCATCACTTGACAGAGAAGGAAGTAGAAGCCCAGAAAAGATTAATAACCGGGAGGTAGGTGCTATTATTATCCCCATTTTATAGATGAGGAAACTGAGGCAGATGGAGGTGAAGTGACTTGCCCAGGGCCATGCAGCTAGTAGGCATCTGAGTTCATATTTGAACTTAGGTTTTCCTGACATCAGGCATGGTGCTCTATCTACTGCACCACCTGCTGTCTAGTAGGAAGCAAAATCACAAATCCTTGAAGAACTATTATAGGTGTAGGTACTTATTCTTATACTCAAGAATAATTCCAAGAAATGAGTCCAAATGGAAAAGAAGTCTAGCTAACTACATGACTGGAGACAGATTTATATTTTCTGGGTCACAGGGTGAGAGCTCTTGCTTCCAGGTCAAGAAGTACTCCAATCTATGCCCACACTCAAGCCCTAAATTCTCTTCCCTTTCCCAGAAGTACCCAGGGTAGATTACATTTCCATCCTAACTGCTAACAGTCCTATTTTTACCACTGCTTTCCTGTTCTATGGCTTTAAGGAATAGCCATTTATATTAAATCTTTTATTTTAATCTGCTTTCAACAGATTAAATAGTATATATAATAATACATATATATATATATATATATATATATATAGTATATATAGTTTTTCTTTAAACACATATCCTGATGGCACCTGTAAGTCCCATTGTTAATACATATGTGTTGTTTAAAATATTGAGTGTCAATCTACAATCTTCTCATTAATATATCACTCCACAATCAATTTATGTTTTTTCATCTTTGTTTATGAAATTTAAGAATTTAAAAAAGAATTTAATGGTTTTCCTAATTCACTTATGCTCTTTATATACCTACATTATTCACAACTCCCTTTTTTATCCTATGATTTCTTTGCAGAAAAAGCTGACTGAAACACTCTACACAGGTAGGAAATTATTATCCTTGACTGATATCCCTTCTAAGATTCATGCTATGTATTTAAAACTGTTGAACAGAAATAATTCAGGAAAGTTAAAAAATTATGCTTCAATTAAATAAAAAAGAAAATCAACTAAAATAAATTACAGTATTGATTGAGAAAAATTTAAAGTTTCTCTTACCTTTTTCCAATCAGTAATGGTATTTCCAAAGGATCTGATCAATGCCACAGCATTAGTTTTCATCTTTTCTATAACCTATAAAGGAATTGTAGTATTTAGATATAGAAATGACAAAAACTACATAATCACAGATTCTTTACCTGGAAGGAGGTGATGTTGGTGTGATAAAAATAAAACAAAACCCATTAGCCAGGAAATCAGGATATCTCGGTTCCAGTCCTGGTTCTCGAATGTTGTATGACCTTGCATAAAGCACCTCACTTTTCCTGGGCTTCAGTTTCCTCAATCCATAATAATAGTGGATTAGGCTAAATTAGTGGTATCTAACTCCAACAGAAAGGGATCTTTGTGGCCTGCATATTGACTTAGAAAACCACAAAATGCTATCATTTGTTTTGTATTGTATTTGTATTTATTTTGGGAAACATTTATCAATTATATTTTAATCTGGTTCCCCCTCTACTCAGCCAGTGGTCAAAGAATTTGACACATCTGAGCTAGATGATCTCCAAAGTCCTTTCCACCTCTAAAACTCCATTATTTTATCATTTTATTCTAGATCATCTAGTTCAGACACTGCCTCCAAACATAACACAAACTAGGCAAGAAAGATAGATAGACTGAACAAGACCAATACCGTTACAACTATTGCTGCAACCAAAATCACTGCATAATGAAAAGACTCCCAAATCCCAATAAATGGGCTATTCATTCTGAATCATATTCAATATGATGTCAATGCTTTGATGATTTAATAAATCTAGGATCTCAGTATGGGGCACAACTCTTTTGATGCAGATCACAACTTTTCCATCCATCCTTTCTCTCCATTCATGCAATTCTTTCTACATTCTTCACTGAATCCTCCATAAAGGATTCACTAAAAAAACTGAAGACCTTCCTCTGGTTCTTTAATATCTTGGGGGAACCAATGTAAATATTAGTTTTAAGTATCTACTCATCTTTTAACTTCTAGTATGTGAACCTGTGTCCTTTATTAATTGTAAACATGGTCAAAATTAGAAATCCTAATGCAAAGAGGCAAATTTGAACACGTAGCCATCAGTAAGATTTGATGGAATGGGGCTTATGCCTGGAATATGGCTCTGGAAGTGTATCCCTTATTCAAAAGGAAAAAATGGATAAAGAGGTAGGCTGAAGAAACAATATATAGTAAGCATTGATAATTTTGTGAGAAAACTCACTAACAGAAGAAGGAAATATGCTAAAAATAGGTAAAAAAAAATAATAGAGGGGGAAACGACAGTGATACAGTTGTGGGAGTATACTACAGAATATGTGGAGAACCAGGTGTTCCAAAAGTTTTAGTTCAGTCCATGGCTATGACTTCCAGGACACCCTACATAACAGTGATGGAATATCTGAGTTAAACAAATATTTGTTGAAGTTCTTTTTCTGCAAAAGCTAAGTAGTTAAGTAATTCTTGGTTATCCTTCAAAAGGTAATGAAAGTGATAAAGTAAATCGCTATTTTGAAGCTGATTCTGACCATGAAGGAAGAACTTTAGTTGTTGAAAGAGAATGATGGGGTGTGCGTGTGTGTGTGTGTGTGTGTGTGTGTAGGGGGGGAACAGTAGGTAAGGAGGGAAGTGACTATACTAACTTAGAATATGTAATACAGAAGGAGAGAGAAGCCATTACCTTCTTTCTCAAATTCTTCCCTTTTTCAAACTTCCCTGCTACTGTTGAGAGTACCATCATTCTTCCAGTCACCCAAGCTCACAACCTAGGTGTCATCTCCAACTCCTCACTCTCTCTCACTTCCCATATTCCATCCATTGCCAAGTCCTGTCAATTCCACCTTTGCAATATTTCTCATATATGCTCACTTCTCCCCTCTGACACTGACACCACAATGCCAGGCACACAGTAAGCACCTGAATGCTTCTTGACTTGACTATGTATATGAGAGACATAGTCTAGATTTTTTGGAGAGACTCTAGAAAATTCAGGAAAAAGAATCAGTCTGACTTTATGGTAAAAAGTCTGCAGGGGAAATCAACTCAAGAGAGATGGCAAATTCTTAAGAAAGAAATTCAGAAAATAAAACAAAAAACAATTTTAACGAGAAAGAAAAGGGACTCTGTCTAAAGAGACTGAAGTAGATGCACAGGTAATTCACTGACCAACTTGGATTTTAAAAAGAAATGAACAGATGAGAATAAGGACAAGTGAAAGAAGACGAAACGTGACATAATCCTACCAGGACAGGGTCAGAAGCCCTAAAGCTCAGAAACAGCTTGGGCTGCTGATCATAAAAAATAATAAAAAAGAGCTTCATGTAGAAACAAAGAAGGGACAGAACACCTATATGAAGCAACTGAGATGTGACAATGGCCAATGGAGAGAATACAGAACCATTCTACTCTTTTCTTCTGTTCTCCCTTTTAAGAACAAAGATCTTTAAACTGGAAAGAACAAAATTAAAAAGGTTAATAGGAGATGAAGCCCAAAAGAGGTGAGGAACAGCCAGCTCCCCTTGATGAGTTCTGGTAACCTAATCCAGATGAATTATATCCCAGAGCACTGAAAGAATCTGCAGGTGTGATTGCTGAGTCAATGTCAGCACAGAATAGAAAGGAGAGGGGTCACCAGACTGAAGAAAGACAAGTTATGACCTGATGCTCAAAAAGGATGAGAGTGTAAAATCTACAATCTATAAATAAGTCAATGAGCTTAATTTTGAATCCAGGCAAAATTTTAGACGGTATTATTGTTATTAGTCCATACCTATGATATCATCAATATATGCAGAGGCAGTTAAATGGCACAGTAGATAAAGTTCTGGGCCCGGAGAGTCAGAAAGACCTGAGTTCAAACCTGGCCTCAGATACTTACCAGTTGTGTGACACTGAGTAAGTCACTTAACCTGTTTGCCTTAGTTTCCTTATTTGTAAAATGAGGATAATAATAGCACCTACTTCTCAGGGTTGTTGTGAAGACTGAATGAGATAATAATCACAAAGGGCTTAGTATAGTGCCTGATACTATATAAATGATAGTTATTATTATAAGCAATTCCCAGGGGCTAGTTTCACATACCAATACAAATCATCAACTGTTGTACAACTTACGGTGTTAAAGCACTGCCCTGGGCACTGAGAAGTTAGATAACTTGCCTAGGGTCATATAGCCAATTAAACTTGGGGGTGGGGCACAGGGAAAGGAGAGGAATGACTTGAATCCAGTTCTTTCTTATTCTGGATCTGGCTATTTGTCTAGACACTATTTGTCTAGAACACATTATTAAAGGGATAGTTTGTTAATACCTAGAAAGGACAGTGATGACTTCTTCTTTCAATGGGGTTACTGGAGTGACAGATTAGGAAAACGCTATAGACATTACCTCAGCCTCAAACAACACAAGTGAAGAGGTTTAAAAAAAATGTATAAACAGGATAGTCTATATATTGTCTATATATACCTCTTTATCAGGTACAAATTCCCCTTTAATTGGGTCAAGGCAACAGATTAACTAACCAAACAAGCAAATCACACACCTAGGGCTTAAATAATGGGAGAAATATCAGCAGTTGTTCAGGCCAGGTCAGCAGTGGAGGACTCCAGGCTCAGGCACACCCAGGGGAGGTATCTAGCTAAGACTGAGAGAAACATTCTGGAGTACAAGTCACCCAAGAAAGGAGAGGCTATACTTGTGAACAGAGAGAGACACACTAAAGAAAGATAGCTGAGAGACAAAGAGTCTTCAAAGAGCACAACATGACCTCTTGTACCAGAAAACATGCTTGCTAGAGACTAAGGCCTTCCAGTAAACAAGAATCAAGAATTCATCCTTGGGCCACATGTTTTCAACATGTATGATTCGCTAGTAGTGTACATAGCGTAAGGGGAACGCAGAGTCTAGTACAAACATTTAAGGCTGGGAAACTGGGGCACGTTTGTAGGCAATAGGAAAGGTGCCATTAGATAAGGAAAAACTGAAGACAAGAAAGAAGGGGATGATCCAAAGAGCTGCTTCCTCTAGGAGCCAGAGGGGATGTTACCAAGCACTCAAGGAGAGGCACTAGCCTTGACAAGAAGGGCCAGTTCTTTATAAGTGACTATAGCAAAGGAGGAAAGAATGGGGAATGATGTAGAAGGGTTTGGAAGTATAAAACAGGGAAGTAAGAGACTTGTTCCGCTTGGGCCCAAAGGGCAGAACTAGGAGCAACAGGCAGAAGCTACAGAGAGGCAGAATTGGGGTTAATTCAAGGAAAAATTTCCTAACAATTATACTTGTCCAAAAGTGAAACAGGCTGCCTGGAAAGGGAATGGATTTTCTGTCATCAGTGCATTGAAGCGCAGACTGATGACCACTTGTACTTTGAAGAAAACTAGGAAGTCTAAGAAATGGAGGAGAAAAGGGAGCACAGAGCACAGCTCACACAAAAGCAAGACATAAAGTGTCAGGTGTGAGGACCTTAAATGGTAAACAATGGAATTAGTATATGATTCTGGAGGAAGAGGAAGACACTAAGGGAGTGTTAAGCTCAGACCTAAGCTTTAGGAATGTCACTTTGGCAGCTATGTGGAGAACAGCCAGGAGAAGAGAGATTTAAGGGAAAGAGACTCCTTAAGAGACTATTGCAATAACACAGGCAACAGATGATGAGGGCCTGAACTAGAGCGGTGACTATGTGAATGGAAATAAGGGAACATATGAAAGAGATGTGGAAACAGCATCAATACTTGGTAAGTGACTGGATATGTGGGGTCAGGGAGAATGAAGATTACAGCATAACACTGAGATAGCAAGCCTGAATAACTGGGACAAGGGTAGTGCCTTTGACCACAATAGGCAAGGTCAGAAGAGGAACTGGCGGGGAGAGGAGGAAGGAGAGAAATAGCACGTTTGGGGCAGGGTGAGTGCCTATAAGACATTCAGTTGCAAATATTCAATAGGAAGCTCTGGACTTAGACTATAGAAGGAATGGCAAACCATTCCAGTATTTTTGCCAAGAAAACCCCAAATGAGGTCACAAAGAATTAGACACAACTGAAAAACGACCTAACAACAAAAAGACTATAGAGAGCACTAGGAGTCAAGGGCACAGAGATGGGGTAGAGAAGGTGAGGAGAGGGAGAGAACTGGAGCGAGCAGCGGGCTGGGAGGGGGAGAACAAGGCTGATAAGAGAAGAGAACGCTAATATTAGAGTGTGTGATATGCGTGATGATCCAGCAAAGAGAATGAGGAGTAATGAGACGAGTAGGAGAAGAACCCAAGAGACAACCGTGTCATAAACATTCAGAGGAAAAGAGTACTCAGAAAGAGAAAGTAATCCAATGGTACCAAACGCTGCAGAGAAATCAGGAAGAACGAGAATTGGAAAAAAGGCCGTCTCATGTGGCAAGTAAGAGATCGTTAGGAACATCTGGAGAGCAGTTTCAGCTCAGGGGAAAAGGTGAGAAGACAGAATTCAAAAGATTGAAAAGTGACTGAGAGGAAAGTGAAGACAATGGATACAGACAGCTTTTTCTAAGAATTCAGATGTGACATGGAGAAGATTTATAGGATATCAGTTTGAATATCTGGTAGGGTCGTATTAAGGTCTTTTTTTTTTTTTAACAATGAGAGACACCTGGACATGTTTGTAGGCAACAGGGAATGAACCAACACAAAAGGAGAGACTGAAGATCAGAAAGACAAGAAGAGATGACTGTCCTGTAGAAGGCAGGAAGGAAATGAGTCAAGGTTCATGTAGAAGGGCTGGCTTTGTTGAAGAAAGGCCTATGTCTTTATAGAGTTTTGCACAGTACCTGGCATATAGTAGGCACTTAACAAATATTGATTAAGTAATCAAGGAGAGAATGGGAGATAATGTCAATGAGTTTTGAGAGGTGGAGAAGGGAAAAAGAGGGAGCCTGAAATACAGCAGAAAGTCTCCAACCTGTTGGGCAGATCCTCTATGAAAATCTATGGAAAGATGAGGAAAATAATCACACAGGATAAAGTGTAGGTTGGTTGTGATCTGTATTGATGGAAGGAGTACAAACATTTATGAGCTCACAAATCTGATGAAGTATAAGTAGCTTATTAAAATGTTATAATTATTATATAACATAATCAAGTAACAACTAAATGAATTTACCAATACTGTTGAGTAACATTTAAAATACAGAAAGGTCATTTTTGCTACAAATGTGAAAATAAAATATTTATGTCATTTAATTCATTCGAATATATTTTGTCTGTGCCTAATATACGAAAGGCACCTTCCACTAAAGTCCTATTCTAATGTTTCATCATAGTGTAGATTGTATTCTCAAAGACTGTAGAGCAGAGGAGCATAAATTCTGGAAAGTACTGCTAAGCTAGAAAAATGTGGAGTATGGGCCTAGCAATGGACTATGTGGTTTTGTGTAAGGTCTAGCTTAGACAAATTATCTTTAAAAGTTATCTCTAAACTGTGAGAAAGCTTCAGGATAGGACTTTATTTGGAGAATGATCTATCATGATATAATGAAAAAATGTGCCAATTAAAGGCACTCATTAAAGATTTGCTGATTCATGAGTTGAGATACTACAGCCAATCTTTAAAAATGGAGTTTCCAGAAAAATCAAAATGTTATAATAATGAAATGTATTTCTATTCTCATAGTTCAATCAATTAACAAATATCTATATAATAAAGCATTCATATAAACTTGTCACAAAAAACAAAGGCCTAATAAACTTATGTTCCCCTATAATGTGTCAAGTGAAGAGTTAACAATGTAGGAGGTATTTGAATACCATGAGTTTTAACAGGTCTGAGAAGGGATGCTTTTAAATAGATTCACTCATTACAAGAAAAATGAAAGCATTAGGATGCTACACTGAAATTTTTCATCACTAGATCTGACCTATATTTTCCTAACTGCTACTGCCTAGACTATCTGTCGACAAATTATTGCTAGGATAATATTATTATTCTTATGTTAGTTTTCATTTAAAAGCCTTTCTGTTTTACCATACTAGCATATCTTTTGAAAACTGCTTAAAATTATTTTTGTCCAGTACCACTTGTAGTACTTTTTTGATCAGACAAGGTAGAAAAAAACAAAACAAAAAGAGCAGCCACAAAATGGGCACTAGGTGGCACTGCTACATTTCAATTCCAGAAGTTGTGTCCACATTACTAAGAAAGGACATAACAAAATCCAGCAGAATGATTACAGAAAGGAGGAGAGAGCTACAACTAAAGTTGCAGGACAAAATGCTACTGTGACAGCAATAATATTGGCCTTCTAAAATCACACCTTAAAAAAATGTAGAAACTCTACAATTAATCAGTGTCTTCTGCAAGAAAATAATCCAACTGTACACATTTCTAAAGGAATAAATTATTCTCACTGTTAACTATCAAATTTGTGATTACAGCCAGTTCTTGCTTAACTGTTCTGCAGACTTCCCACTGCCCTCTCCTCTGGCCCTGTCCTCTTCTGGACTCTGCTGAGGCAGCCAGAGGGGCTTCAGGGACTGGAGCATAAGACCCCTGGTAAGAGGCTGCACTGGCACCTTCTGCTGCTGCCATCACCGCAGTCCCAGCTGGTCTGCAGCCTGCCAGGATGTCGAATTTTCCTAATATAAATTTACATAATCAAGAACTTTCTGTATAGGACACTCTACTTGGCTTTTATTACAACTTTATAATCAGTAAAAATTTTCTTTCATCTTACCTTATTTTGTGGGCATTGTCCTAAGAGTTCAAGTTCGTGCTGAAGCTGCCTCATTTTCTCAAGTCCAGAATCCAAAAGAATGTTCATACCAAACCTCACTCCATCACAAATGGCATTTATGAAATCCTCCTAAAAATTTATTCATTAAAAATCAAATACTATTTTATATTTTTTTTAAATTATTATAGAATGGTTTCATTGGAATTTACAGATACTTTTAAGGACCATAATGTATTTTATAATCATTAGATAGGTAATGATAAAATAACAAGACAGTCATTAAGCTAAAGAATAAGTGACCAATGTCCTACAATATTTGTAATTAGCAAATCCTTGATTTTGAGTTTAATTGTACTTCTACTGAGAAGAATTATTTATTAGTTTAAATAGAGTCTTATGCTTTGATGACAAATAGAAAAAAACCCATTAAATCTGCATTCTTGCTCACAGAGAGCCTGTATCAATTCAAATATATTTATAAAAATTTAAACTTAGTCCTTCTTGGGGGGAAAGGGGGAAGAACCTGTGATTCAATTGCTATGAGGAGATTTAAATGTGGAAGCTCCTCCCACCAATGCTGATCAACAACTCATCAAAAATTCAGAGTTGGATGAAAATTGCCTGTTGCCCTAAGAGGTTAAGTGACTTGACTATGATCACACATATATCAGAGAAAGTCTTTCTGACTCCAACGTTCACTATGACACACTGACTCTTACTATCATTTACTAATGACTAATGATTTTAATTAAAATAGAAGGTAGATTATCATCTTTGAAACAAATGATTAATCTTTACGAGAGTAGTAATAGGGCCTAATTTATTATCTTCTAGTTGTTTCTAATATAAAACCTATTAAGTTTTCAAAAAGGCAACAATATCTGCCTGCCTTAAAAAAGAAAGATAAAAATCATACCAAAAATAATAAACAACAGGTTTATAGGTTATAAAAAGAAAAAATCAGGATTATTCAAAACAGTTTAGAATTTAATAGTTTTGAATTTACATAATATTAACATGGTCTTAATCTTCCAATATAATGCTATATTTTGAATGAAATGAATAATCAAAGTAAATGAATACAGCGTTGACACTTCAATACTGTAAATTACTTTTCATTCATTAATTGGCTACTCTTGATTACATTCCTGATGGTAGATCATTAAAGCTAACCGGGATACAGAGATAAAGTGACTTTTTCAAAATCATACAGTGAATTAATATGGTGAATATTCTAAAGAGCGAGTTATACATAAAGATTTTAAAGTATTTTAAAGTCTTACAGCTAAACTTTTAAAATTTACATACTATATCTTTTCTAGAAAGGTAAAAAGAACTTGTCATCAACTAACAAAACTCATTACAGTAGTAACCCTCTTACATCCTCCCACGTATATGTCTTAAAAATTAATATAAGCTACTTTACCTGAAGATTCACCACTTCATCCCTATTGTTTTCTGAAAGATGCAATTTGGCTCCTTTAAGAACTGCTAACTGCCCCACATATTTTAATGCCCGTAGCATGGTTTCAATAATTTTCTTTTGAACCTCATTCACCATTGAGGAAATATCTGAACAGCACCCCTGAAACATTAACATAGATCAGCTTTATAGATTCTGAACATTAGAGATGAGAAAGCAGTGACAACAGAATTGAAGAAAATGAATTTGACAGACAATGGTACAATGACCATTTGTTGTCGTTGTTCAGTTATGTCAGTCGTGTCTAATTGTCTGTAACCCCATTTGGGGTTTTCTTGGCAAAGATACTAGAGTGGTTTGCCATTGCCTTCTCCAGATCATTTTACAGATGAGAAAACTGAGGGTTAAGTGACTTGCCTAGGGTCACACAGCTAGTAAGGATCTGAGGCCGGATTTGAACTCAGGTTTTCCTGACTTCAGGCCTGGTATTCTAGTCCCCATGCCACCTAGCTGCCCCTAACAACTTTCAGATCTAAAAAACTACACATATGTATAGAATTTTACAATTTGAATTTTCTTCTGTTTAAAAAAAGCCACTTATCCTATTTCTCTGTTTCTATGTTTTTTAATAATAAACATATGAAAGACAACATGAAATAGATGACTCACTTTGGAGTAAGGAAGATCTGGGTTCAAGTCCTACTTTTGCTACATACTGACTGTGTGACTAGGCAAGTCACTTAACAAACTTAACTGCCTCAGTTTTCTCTTTTCTTTTTTTTTTGGCTAGGCAAGCGGGTTAAGTGACTTGCCCAGGGTCACACAGCTAGCTAGTAAGTGTCATGTGTCTGAGGCCGGATTTAAACTCAGGTCCTCCTGAATCCAGGGCCGGTGCTCTATCTACTGCATCACCTAGCTGCCCCCCTCAGTTTTCTCAACAGCAAAGTGGGGATAATAATAGCACCTACCTCACAGGGATGTTGTGAGGGTCAAATGAGATAATATTTGTAAAGAGTTTAGCACAGTGCTTAAGTACATAGTAAGTACTTAGTAAATGTTGATTCTATTACATTCATTTAACCTATCAACATCCCAGACAACTCTCTAAGACCATAAAGCAGTTGCCAGTCTGCATTGGTGCAAGACATTCCTCATTGGCAGCTCCCTATTATAGGTCTATAAAAAAATAAAATGAAGATAAACTAGGTTCCTAGAGTTTATGATTTCAAGGACAGCTCATTACAAAACTAAGAAAATATTTATGTATACCTATAATTACATACCTTCATTTAAGGTCTACCCTAATGGCCCATTATGGCATGAAGGTGAGGTTGGGTTCTTGAAGCTACATTCTCAAAGGAAATGCCAGTGAAAAAGAAGCTCTGAAAGGTCCTACAAGATTGGATAGGATTCAAGGAAGGGTCTAGTGACTAACTATATCATTACTATTTAAGTATAAACCCAGTTGAATTCAGAAAGGCTCATCACCAGGTTGGCAGAAGGGCTCTAAAATTTTCAACCACTGCAATTCTCAGTCTGTCCATTTTATAGAAGTGTGATTGCTAGTATCCACGTTTAAAAAATTTTTTCTTGTTTCAGTTTGGACTTGATTTCATTAGTATAGGCAACTGCCCAACCCCATCCAGACCTGCTTTGTAACTTAGGTTAGCTAGATGCCACTGTGAGGGGCTTGTCCAAAGTCTCATAGCCAGTATGGGCCAAAATGGGGATCTGAAACCAGGTCTTCGTAAGAGGCCAGCTCCTTATCCACTACATCAAGATGGCTCTCTCCATGCACACTAGTAAAATTCCAGCTTCCTTAAGTATTAATGCATAAATATTTATATATACATAAACAAATGTACAAATGTATACCCATATGTGTTCTGTTGACACTGTCAGGGCATCCTAACAACAATAACAAGAAAAGCTCTTCATATTTGCCACTGATTTCATCTGCTGGCATTCCCCAAGGGTTAAAAGCAAACCCTTATTTTAGAATGCTACCTCAGAATGCCAGCCATGACCTCTTTTGTAGCAAATTGACAGAATATGAAATATATGCCAGCTGGGTAGAATATGCTAACCACTTTACCACACCGTAAGCAACCTAAAGGATAAAAACCGTCTCCTGCACAATGCAGTGGCTGAAAAGCATTGTATTTGAGGGCACTCAAATGCTTTCTGGAAGGGTGAGGCTGCAAAGGAGCTGCTCTCGTGCACAGGCAGATAGCGGGGTGAGAGCCCGGGTTTGTTCAGCTTCTCTCCTGACTGCTTTCCTTCCTGTGTCACATGTCCTCTTGGCCTATCTCATGTTCTTTCCTCTACCCCATACTGCATCTCATACATCTGTTACAAGTAAAATTGTTGGGTAGGCAACTTGTCTACTTACTACTAAATATTTTAACTAGTCAAAGCACAAATACATAACATTTTTACTACATCTGAAGAGAGCCCAGGCCCTATATACTAATTATGCTAATTACCTTGTTGCATGGAATTTAACTCAAAAACAGTCTTATGTTAGACTCACCCTTCAAAGAAAGCCTCTTCCAATAAAGCAAAGCTATATGTAGCAATTTTTCATAAATTTTAAGGAATATGAAATCTTAGTTGTAAATCACGAAAAACAAAAATACAAATAAACATATTAAACATAACTATTTGAACTTTTTATACAGCACATATATCAAACAAGGTAAAATATATAAATCAAATTCTAATTTATTAATTTATTTTGATTTGTCAACAATCATTTTCATAAACTTTTGAGTTTTAAATTTTTCTCCCCCTCTCCAAATTCTAATTTATATCTAAAAAAATGATTTCCAAGCCACAGGCAGTGGCCAATTTATTTCAAGAAATATTCAGTACAAGAAAATTAAAGTATAATAATAATTTGAAACATCTCTTAGAGTTGGATGTAATGGAATCTGACCAGTAATAAATGTTTGTTCAATGCTGAAGAAGGAATCAGGATTTGTTCTACTGTTTTATAACTTTTTATCATGAAGTCTATCTATTGTTATATATAAAGCTGTCCCAAGTTAATATGTCCATAGTCCCCACCACCACTTCTTTAAAGAAACTTTGCGGAATGCGGAAGAATAGAACAAAAAAATTTCTTTGATGCCATTTTAGCTATTTCAAGTACTAAAATAGAGGAGAATCCACTGATTAGGACAAGTTTGCCCATTTACCTTAAAGTCTTTTTTGAGATCAAATGATTTTGGTTCCTCAAGAAGAGTTTCTAAAGTGCCTGTATGTCAAAATTTCAAAGACAGTTTGATGTCGGGACAAATTCAGATGAACTTACCTGCAAAAACAATTGTAAGTACCCTCCCAATTTTTTAACTTCTTGTGTCAAGTCATCATCAGGTCTTGAAGTAGACTGTGGAAAATCATCAAGCCAATGTCTGGTTAGAACAACAAGTTGCTCAAAAGCAGATGTCATCTGAATACAAAATGCCTGGATTGCTCGATCAGTAGAAAAAACTACAAAAAAGTAGAACAGTGATCAGAAACAATCTCCCAATAAAAGAAGACTTTATTCTGAACAACTTCAGTACATTTTAATATTGACAAAAACAATCCATAATCACTATGACAAACAATAATTCAAATCAGAGCAAAAATGTAGAAAGTAATTGTTAAAAAGCTAAGGTGGCACTCACAGTTATCTTGACTTTCTTCATCTTGTTGTTCATAAGCTTTGGAAATGGCAGTCATACAAGAATGAATATTAAGAAAACTGGTAATTAAGCTGTCTGCCATAGTCTTTTCCTCATCATCACTTTGACTAAGGAAATCTAATGATGAACCAATCAATTCCTTGCAAATTCCAGGCAAGAAAGATTCTGTTGAGTTTGAATAAATGTTGTTTGATTTCTCCATTAAACCTACATAAATAGAAAATAATTAACAAAAAGACAGCTGTTGTACCCAGTACTCAAATTTGAAACAAATCTATCCTTTGAAGGAATAATCTAAGTATTATTACTTATTATTATTATTAAATTACTTCACTAATACTTCACAGAACCAACCCAATATAATTTTTTTATCATTACCACCTAGCTTCCTTATGTTCTTTTTCCACAAGCTGAAGCTAAAATGACTAAAGTTATACACTGGAATAAGCAACTACAATAAATACATTTACTTGTAATAATAGATTAAATTCCTCTATAGCAATAAGAATAATCCCCAATAAATGAAAACCATAGATGAGCAGCAAACCTCATTTTAACCAAACTAAATTAGCTTCCTCTCCTCTCTTATCAGAAATTTTAGCACAACTTACCATTCCCTAAATGCCTAATAAGGTACTAACAAATACACAGGAAAGAAAGCAGAAAACAAGGCAAGAATAAAATACACGCCACAAAATCAGTTACTAACAGAGCTGACTATAATACGACTAGATATATTTTATACTGGTTCCTTCCATAGCTACAAGAACAGACTGATAATAACTAAGCCCATATGTAAGCCATTTATCCAAAGGTCAGACTTTTTAGCAACCTCAATGCTATACTACAGTGATTGGAAGTAAAATAAAAACAGCCTTGAAGTAGCAGCTTCATAAACATTTTCACTAATGCTACTGAACTTTTCTTCTAATCTCTCTTACTGATTCTTATTTCACATACAATTCTTACTAACAACTTGAAGTTATCTGATGTTCCAGTTCACAGGACTAGAACACAATGAAAGCAAAAGTGACAGCTGGTAGCCTGATGTAAAGAGAGAAAAAAGAAAAACTGAGAAGCACAGAATTGTATTATTGCAAAGCATAACAACAGATGTTCCTAGTGAAGACAACAGGTCATCAAGAAAAGGTTAAATTATGCTCATTAGTCTGCCTAAGGTCCTACTTCAATGCTTCATACCAGTGTGGAAGAGACACTGCATTCTCAAAGATTATGCCAGCGAACTCAGCGGAGGATGATAAAAAATATTTGATAACATGACTTAAGTTTGAGAAATTAGAGAGGCCAAAGACTTACAGATTACTCAGAAGCCTCATGTCGTGCCTCAGGAGGCACTTAAGGGGCCCAGTGAGTAAAGCAATGGGGCCTAGTAGCATCAGTCAGAAAGATCTGAGTTCAAACCTAGCCTCAGATACTTACTAGCTGAGTGACACTGGACAAGTCACTTAAACTCTGCCTGTTTTCTCAACTGAAAAATGGGGATAATAGCACTTACCTCACAGGGCTGTTGTGAGGATAAAATCAGATAACATTTGTAAAGCACGCAGCACAGTGCCTGGCACAGGCACTAAATAAAAGTGTATTCTCTTCCCCGCTGCGTATTTATTAGAATGTTTTCTGTCAAACTTAAAAAGCTTTGGGTGCAGTCTCAGGAATAGACTAAGTATAGTATCTGGATGCCAACTTAGCTGAGAATGGTAAAGTCCATCACCAGGAGGCTACAACAATCAATGAATCAAGGAAAAAATTAAAAGAGCCCTCAGTTCTGGTGGTCTGCTGCTCCCACAGTGATGGTAATAGAAAAGGATGATGCTAAGACTCAAATAAACATTAACTGTAGATAGTCTAAATGTGAAACTCTTTGTTCAAAGACCAAAAAAAACATATTACTAGAAGAATTAAACAACATCAATATTGATAATTTCAAAGTAAATGAAACCAAAAGACAAAAGGAAATTGTACACAAACGGGAGGATAACTCATGGATTCTCCTTGGAGAAGCAAACTAAGGAGCTGATTTCATTATACACCCAAAGATAAGAGTAACTTCATTTCATAAGACACTGTGTCATCCTACCATGTAGTAGTCATGATAATTGCAGTTCATGCATCAACATACATTACATAGGATGAAAAAGTAGAGAAATTCTCTGAAGACCTTCACAAGATGCCCCAGATCAAATCAACACACACTTTGATACACAGGGACATCAAGGCAAAGGCTAGCACAGGGGAGGGTAGTGACAAATGTTTGAGAATATGGCTCAGGTTTGAGAAATTAAGGAAGCCAAAGGCGTATAGAATACTCAGAAGCCTCATATCCATAAAGCATGAACACTTCCCTCAATAAAAACAGGCAGACATTCACAGATAATTTTCTCTTGTAGTCCATAATCCATATCATTACAGCTGACTAAAAACTGCAGAGAATACAAAACCCCACTGTGCTTACTGTTTATTGATTATTTTTTTTAAAAAAGCTTTTCATACAATAGAGCATTAAGAGTCTTGGAGTATCTACTCCAACGAGGAGTACCTCATGCATACATGAAGATCACACACAATTCCTTGACAAAAGCAACCACAGAAATAATTGATTATAAATATCAAGCAAAGGTGAAAATAGGGAAGTGCATGCTTGCCAAAAGTATTTGCAAGTGATACTGAGGATATATTACACAAGAATCAAACAGAGGAGAGATTCCCTACAGGTGGTAAGATCCTGCAGCTGTTACTATTTGCAGATGATATATTTCTGATTCCAGTAAAGCTCAGAACCTTATCGGTTCTCCTGAAAGAAACTGATGAATATTCTAAAGATTGGCCCAACAATCTATACAGGAAAAACTAAAATGATGAAAAATATTTATTATCCAGACTATGACAAAACTCATAAAGAATTAAAGTTCTGGGTGACCCAAGGAAAAACAAGTACAAGTAGACTGAAGCCTATTTCTAGTGATGACCTATGTGAAAGAAGTATTATCAGGGATATCACAAGGAAATCTATGATTGGAAAGGAAGTATGTCAGTCATGAAGCCTGAATAAAGGTTAGCAGATGGAAAGCTCAATGTTCCACTAGTATCCTCAAAAAGTAAAAAGGCCTGGGCCTGAAGAGGAAGGCCACTAAAACACAGGGTAGAAATAAAAACTAAAAATGATCTGAATGGGTAGAGATTCGTACCAATGGAGGGAATGCCCACATCAAAATGATCAGAGATTCATTTTCAATTAAAGTATTTTTTGGTTAAGGATGCAAGGAAATATGTAATATATTTTAGAGAAATTTCCATCAAAAAATAGTTATAATTTGAAAAAAGTTCTCAAGCTTGTAATGTAAGCAGTTATGTGAAATAACTTTATTTTTTGATGATAATTTTCTGATAATGACAGCTAAATTAGTATATATAATATATATATATATATATATATATATGCATGCTTTTATATTGTAAGCAAGTGTATATGAGATAAGCCAATCAAGTTGTCAATTTAGCTCCCCTTACAGATCACTTTATAGAGGGAAACAGTAATGTCTTTTAAGATTTTAGAAACATTTGAGAGTCTGTTTTTACCTGTATTTAATAAGATTAGACCTGTATTTTCTTCATTCTCTTAACTTTTATAGGACTCCAAATAACTTTCATTACTCTATAAATAATGGTAACTATTTTCCTTTATGTTCACTTTTATTTTTCTTATAATAGTTATTATATTATGTATTCATTTTAATTACATGTAAATGAATTTTTAAAAATGTATTGCATTTAATTTCCTCCTACTGAAACACATGGTCAAGTTATCAAATCCACACACAAATATTTACTCAGATTAATACAATGTATAACATTTGCAAATTTTTTCCCACATAATTTAATCGTATTAATAAAGTGCTCTGAAATGCAAATTAATTTGGTAGAAAAAATACCTGATGAACGTGAAGAATTCAGATTCTGAACTGGATGGACTATTATATCTTGTAAACATCCAGAAATTCTCCTATTCTTCATCAAACTCCTGCTCCTACAAAAAAGAAAGGCCACAAGGAGCTATTATTACATGTTATATTCTTATAAATCATCACTTTTTCCAAATGAATTTGGACGTCTCATTTCATCAAATCTCCATTATGTAAAACAAGAAGAAAAAGAAGAAGAAAATTTCAATAGTTAATTCTACATTATATCTACTAATGAAGGGGAGAAGTAGATAGGCTAGAATATCAAATAACCCCCTAAATCATTTATGTTGGCTCTGCAATAGATGATCTGCTAAATTCTTAGGAAAAGTATTTTAAAATGAATACTTCCACTTCCATGCTACCTGCCTCTTGTAATCTGGCTTCTGACCCCTCCAGTCTACTAAAATTACTATGAAAAATCATGAATGAGCTCTTAAATGATCTGGGGCAATTTTCTCTCAGGCTGCCCTGCTCTTGGCTGGACTTCTTTGCTCATAGCTTTCGATGAGAGACAATGGTGTAAGGGGAGAGGTCATATGACTCTGGTCCTTGGCTTTTTGAGTTTGTTTTCTTCCATTTTAATTGAAGATATATATAGAATATAAATAAAATAAAATAAAAAGACTACAAAGCCTCTAATTTTGAGCCTATACCAGTAGAGGGAGTAATTCTTAAGTGATGCCTAGGTCTTATTTTCCTGTTAATGAATTGGAAAACAAGCTTAAAATCTTATTAGAAGAATCAAATATATTTTATATCCTAGAACTTCTAAATTGGGTATTTTTTTTTAGTAGAATGCTTTTGAACACCTGAATAATTTAAAAGTACCATATTTGTAAAAATAGTAATAATAATTGATTTGGGGCCTTAACTTTATCTATGAAGACATGAAAGATTTCAATCTAAGAAGTTTTAGCTTCATGTCAATGTTTATAACTGAACTGCAAACTTGAGGAATGTTGGCAGATAATGGAAACCTGACAGACTCTTAATGATAGCACTGCTACCTGGGGTGAGATACTGTTGTTCTGCAATAAAGCAGTCTGGTTCAGCTGACTGTAAATTTGATACACACTGTTGACAGTTAAACATAAATTCTACCTGTAGTTAAGTAAAAAAAAATTTGAAAGAAACTTGACAAGGAGTTTATTTTTAGTATAAATATAATTTTAATAGACTAGTATTTGAACAAAAACCATTTTCCTGTTTTAAAGATGTAATATTATTATATTATATACCAAAATGAGCTCTTAAGAATTTGATTTTTCCTATTCCTTCTAATAAAAGATAACAGATTGAGATATGGAAAAAACCAGAAAGATAATGTTTTTAGATCTCTATGTTCTTTATCACTTGATAGAGAAATATTTAGACTTAGCTACCTTACATTTGGGCATGTCAGTTTATCTCTTTGGGCCTCTGTTTCCATATTTGTCAAATACATGGGTTAGGCTCTTTGATTTCTAAAGTTCCTTCCATTTGCGACTGTGACTTTTTGTTTAGATAGAGTAAGTTAAAGTATGGTCCTATCAACTCACTGAAGGAGAAAGGCACAGAGACATAGATATTCCAAAGCAACAGGCAAAGGAAAACACTCACTCTTTTTCCTTTCTGCCAATATATTGCTTAGAATGAGAGTTAATTTTAACATTGAATGCACTCTAACTGCTCACTAATTCTCAAAAGAAGAATTATGAAATATTAACAACAATATAAAAAAACCACTAAAATCACTAATAGTAAGAAAAATGCAAATCAAATCAAGCAGATTGGTAAAAATGACAAAAGATGAGAATAATCAACATTGGAGGGGTTGTGAGACAGGGACACTAATACATTTTGATAGAACTATGAATCAGATCAACTATTCTGGGAAACAATTTGGAACTATGTTAAGAAAGAATCTTAAATGTCCATTAGCTTTCACTCAGAGATTCCACTGCTAGTGATTTGATCCAAATATCAAAGATATGAGTCTAATACAATGCAAAATAGTGAAGAACTAGAAACAAAGGAGATTTCTATCAACCAAGGAATGGATACACAGTGATACACGAATGTAATAGAATATTATTGCCTCCTAAGATATAATGAATATAATCCTGCAAGATCAAATAAGCCTTAGTACTCACACCTCATCAGTGCCCTCTGTCCCTCTAACTGGAGGGTAGAGCCATGAGCACCAAAACCTCCAGTTAAGGAGGAGGTCCAGGACAGCCATGCCCTCCCCCCTTTTCAGCCTCCTTTTGTGTGCTGTCTTCTCTCATTAGACTATTTGTATTGTATTTCTATTTGTATCAATAAAACTTAGCACAGTGCCTGGCACATAGCAGGCACTTAATAAATGCTTGTTGATTGGTTGACTGAATTGACAAAAAATAAAATAAGCAGAATCAAACAATAGACACAACGACTACAATATGAATGGAAAGAACAGTAACAACAAAACTGAAACTAAAGGGGGTATGAGTAGGACAATATCTGGCCTCAAATAAAAGACAGAACTGCTTCCCCTCTCCTTCACAGGGGTAGTGGACTATGGATGTAGAACCCTACGTATATTGAGGATGTGAGGGCTGTACTAGTTAGCTCTGCTGAGTTGCTTTGTCCTCTTCTTTCCTTTTTATACATTCTTATAAGAAATTGCTCTCTGGATGGAGGAAGGATATCATGGGAAATGAAGGCAATGTGCAAACAAAAGATCAATAAAAACAAAAAAACAGCTGAGGCTGCAAAGTGCTAAAGACACTAAAAAGAGCTCCAAAGTTACAACTTCAGATGATGCCAAAAGAAATTAACTTGAATAAACCTACCTATTTGTATCAAAGCAGAGACTGTTATCCTTTCCTCTGTAGGAGAAGCCCTTAAAGAGTGAATATTCCAGAGGTCATGAGGGGCCCCCAAACCTTCTTTCATGATCATTTTTATGATAACAACACTTGTTTAGAAGATAATTAGCTCAGTTCATAGGTGTAGTCTGTGGCCATGAAACAGAAGTTGATGCTGGGTAACTCTGGTAAGGGGTTTGCACCTACTGAATCTCACAGCTCAAAAGGCCCACAGAGATAAGATCTAATCTAAGACTATCTAGGACATTTGGTCTTCCAGCCTCTGCCTGAAGATCTCTAGCAATAGGAAATCCACTACCCCCAGAGGCAGCCTTGGGTATTTTTTAGACATTTTCTAATTGTCAAGATGCCTTCCCTCATATCAAGATCAAATCTGCATATCTGCAACTCCCGCTGAATGTTTCTAGCTCTATCCTCTTGGGCCCAGAGGAATAAATTCAATCTCTCTTCCATATGACAACTTGAATTATACCAGAACTTATTAGATTTTTTTCTCTTATCACCTCAGGCAAGGAATTGTGTTTTATAAACACACTTAACCCCATTGCCTAACAATAAAATAAATAAAAATTAAGTACTGTAATTTGATTAGTTTTATAATATTCCTCATGAAATATGACCAGATAGCATGTAAAAAAAAGTTCCTTTAAAACAAAAGAACGTTCTGTGTATGGGGGAGAAAAATATAGTATTTACCTTCTTCTAGAAAATGAAGAAACTGCTGTATTTGCTAAATCAGGTTCCCATTCATCTTCTGGATCATAAAAGATATCTTCACCCTTAATGCTACTATGACTCTAAGAAAAAAACAATTTATTCTGGTTAGTTTTTCTCCCTTAATTTTTCCTCCTGATCTTTTCCATAGAACATTTCCTGCTTTCTGGTCATCACCTTCATTCTCCTGCCATTGCCCCTGAGACACTAAGCTTTTGCCTTCTGTCATCTGAACCAGGCCTCCACATAACTTCCTAACCATCTCTTCGTTGTGACACTACTCCACCTCATCTCCCTTTTTGGCTCTCCTTTATCTGTCATTTTTCCCCATTAGAATGTGAGCTCCTTGAAGGCAAGGCCTTAATTGCTTGTATTTGTATTCCCAGTGTTTAGCATGGTGCCTGGTATGTAGTAAATGTTTAATAAATGTTTGTTATATCTAATTCCATCCATCCCTTAACCAAAATCCCAATCCTACAAAATATGCTGTTAGTAGCTTTGGCATTTTTATGAGTTATAAAAGGTTATATAACAAGTAAAATCAGACTAAGTATTTTCCTCCCTTTCCAAGTATAAAATAACTAAATTACTTGATATTAAACTTTTTTCCAAACAAAAGATTTTATTAAAATTCCATACCTCATAGAGTTCTTTCATTGCTGCAAGTTTAGATTCAAACTTCTCCAGGCTCCAGAAAGTTGAGATTCCCAGCTGAACATTACGAACCTGGACCTGAACAGAAGGCTCAGTACTATTTCTTTGGCTTGATATATCATGCCTGAATGAAGAAAAATAATAATAAAGCACCTTTAAAAAACACAATACTTCAGGGAACATTTCCTTAACTAGAACAAGACAATAAAATTCTGACAAAAATTCTTCTGTAATTAAACATTTATATAGTAGCAAAAAAAATACTTAATATGAATTATGTAAAGAAAAGTCTGCAATACTGCATAAACTGCTGATTCAAAAAACATCTCAATAAAGAAAACATCCTATTTTAATTATGAGAAGATATGAATTAATTTTTTAGATTCATACTTGATTACTCTAACAGATCTATGATCCTGCCAATTTGGAAGCTTCCTCCAACACCGAAGACTACAATCCATCAATGCACCTCTTATCCATGTTCAACAATTTTACCTAAAAGATCCACCCAATCTGATGGGGAACCTTCCTCACTTTCTCCCTACATCATGACGGAACCAGTGGAATGCTGTCTGCCTGTCAACACTTGTCTTCACCCATGTGAGCAGCCTGTCTTATCTTCCTATTGTACTTTTTTTGACATCCTTTACTCCTATTCTACCTCAGAGCCCCTCATTGGTTATATGTTGCAGCTTGTTCATACCCACCATAGGACTTACTTTTTTTATGAATCAATACACTATCTATTTTTAGGTTTTCCTATGAATGATTAAAAAATGAAATAAAAATAATTCTTTAAAAAAATTTTTATCAGAGCCTAATATTTTATATTACATTGATTTCTGGATATATCCCTCCTCCTTTCTCCTCTGTCTAGTAAGCCATTGCCTATAACAAAGATTTAAAAAGCAGTTCAGCAAAACTAATACACATGTCAACAATGCCTCATAGCATATGCACATTTGGAGTCCCCACACCAGCCCCTGTAATGAAGAGAGGGAAGAACACTTTTTCAACTCTTCTCTGGGGCCAAGATTGGTTATTATAATTATATAGTAATCAGTTTTGTTTAGAACAATTGTTTTTAACACAAACCTTGGGAACAAAATGCTTGCAAAGATATTTCAGAGATTTCAAGAGCTTAGCACTGGTAACTTTTCTTGCCTGACCAACAATGCAAAGCAAGTTCATGAACCAAATCTCCTCTAGATCACTGTGGACAGCTTTTCTGCTGTTCCTCATTAAACACAAAAATACTTTGCCAACTATCAATGCATAGTGGCATCTGGGGTTATAGTCTCCACAAAGTTTTGGCATAGTTCCTATACATTAAAATGTTAGGAATCTCCAGATAATTGTAGAAAACACAATTAAAGTTGAAAATTGGAAGGAGCCTTGACGAGGATAAAAGGCATTTTATAGTCAACAAATATATCACTCACCTACAAAAAACATAACACTTTCTTAATTTGTTGCTAATGGTGTTGGCTTCTTGGATCATCACTGAGAGCTTCATGAAATTCCAATTAGGCTGGACTAATGCAAAACATAAATAATAAACTAAGCAAGAATAAGTAAATATGCTTCTCTAAGAACAGCCAAATTTCTAAAAAGTTACTAGAATTTTGAGGTACTTACTAGTAATAACTGACATTTATATAACATTGCACATTAAAGTATTTTATATGCATTATTTCACTTGAGTCTCATAACCCAGTTGGGTACTACAAGTATTATCCCTATTTTAAAGATGAGGAAACCGAGGCTAACAGCAGTTAAGCGATTTGCTCAGTCACACAGCTAGTATGTTTCAGAAGCTGAATTAAAATACAAATCTTTCCTATTCTGAGTTCAATACTCTATCCATTATGGACATTGCTTCTCTTCTTAACTTTATAGTGTAGATGATAAGATGTATGGCTAAAGAACAGATGTATCTAGATCCCAAACTTTATTTATCTATGTAAAGGTCAGTTCCCCAGTAGAACATGAACAGCTTGTAGGCAAAGAGGCTTTTTTTAAAGAAAAATTCTGTATCCTAGGCATTTGCACACTGACTTACATATATACTCATTTTTATAAGGTAATATGCATGGCTTTACATTAAGATACATACCAACATTCTCCATCACTCACTTGTTAACATTTTGTCCTTGTTACTCAGATTTTGTTGTAGAATCTGTACTTCTTTAACAATCTTCTGCTTCTCAGCCTCCAAAGCTTCAAGAATCTTTGCATGCCGAACAGTATGATCTTCTAAGGCCTAAATAACATCCATTTGTATAGACCCATCCAAGAGATAGAACAAAAAAAAAAAAAAATATATATATATATATATATACATACACACAAATACAATGATAACACTTATATTTATGACTAACCTTTGCTTTGTAGCATATTAATTTAATTAATTAATTATAAAATTGTAACAAATTGCCTATGTTTTTGCTTCATAACAAATGCATTAAAGTTGTTTTTACGGCATAAGTTTAACTTTTTCCATCTAAAAATTTTGATGGAAAGTAAAAAATCTGCTCACAAACATATGATCAGAAGCATTAGTGATCAAGAAAAAGGTTTCATTTCAGAGATTATTTTGAGAAGATCTCTTGCATATGTCCATTTCTCTCCACTCATATTGCCACCACTCTAGTTCAGACTAGGCCCTAATCACCTCTCACCTAGACTATGAATTAGACTCTCAGCTTCAAGTCTATCCCATTTCAATCCATCTTCCTCACAGCCACCAAAGTGATCTTCCTAAAGCAAATACCTAACCATGTCACCTCCCCTACTCCTCTCACACAAATTCTAATGGCTCCTTATTTCCTCTGGAATCAAATATAAACTTTTCTATTTGGCATTTAAAGCTCTTTACAACCTAGCCTCTTCCTATTTTTCAAGTTTTAAATAAATGACTTTACTCCCCTCCACACGCTTTCTGGTCTATTCACACAGGCCTCTTTGCTATTCTTCACACACAACACTCCCTTGTCTGCTTCAGTACTTTTATATGGGCTCTCTCCCATGCCTAGAAAGCTCTCCCTTTTAAACTCTATCTCACAGAATGCTCTAAGTTTTCTTTAAGACTTATCTCAAGCACTCTCTCCTCCAGAAGGCCTTTCTAGCCAACCCAGCTGCTACTTTACAGCTCTATTCCATACAGCCTGAATATATCTTGCTGATGTATGTGGTGTCTCCACATAAGAATACAATCTCCTTGCCATGAGGGTAAGAACTGTTTTTACTTTTTCTTTGTATCCCCAATGCTTGGCACAGTGCTTTGTATATAGTAACTGTTTAACAAATGCTTATTGACTGACAACATGAAAAAATTCTAATCTGTCACAAAAGAAATTTTGAAGACAGACAGATATGACTTCACACTTCTCTATTAGAAGGTAATCTAGTATTATTAAGGTTTTCACCAAATGATTAGTATTTTAGAGATTGGTAGCAAAAGAAGGCACTATCTGTAAAAGGCACAATATTCCTTAGTTATTTAGGTAATTTGGAATCTTTGTCATGTAGTTTAACTATGCTTAGTATTAGGAAGCAATCTGTGCTGCTTTCTGCTTTGAAGAGGGGAATAAAAAAAGACAGAAAAAGAGAAGAATTGCACAGTAGTCAGTCTATCTAGCTAAACCTTACCTACTGATCTATACCTTAAACATTCCAATCAGAAATAAAGATGGGGGTAAAGGGAAGGAAGAGACCTACTAAATCTAGATGAGAATGAGAAATGGTATAAGAAGGAGGTATGAAATCATGCAGGTGTGGAGCTATCCCTAATGACTCTGTTCTTCTGGCTCTCAAATCTAAGTAAACAATGGGAGAAAGAAGGCACCTACCAGAACAACTCTGGCCTGACAAGAAGGCACTTTCTCACTTGTGTACTTTATTTTTACACCTCCTTGCAAACCTTTCAAAAACATCAAGATCCCAAGAGCAGAAAAAAAGGGCTAGTGCTTTCCTTATGACTGATCAAACAAACTAGTTATGGACTAGAGATTACCTGTTTCGTAGCCAAAGTCTCCATTTCTAATCGCTTCTTATTAACATAGACTTTCTGTTCAAGATGCTGTTTTGCTTTTTCTAATTCTTGTATTTTGTCATTAGCCTTCTGGTTATTTATTTCCTCCATTTTCTTCCTCTCAGATTCTTCTTTCTTATAAAGAACAACAACACAACAGAACACAATGAATATCATCTTCAAAGCAAGGGTCCAGGTCTAGCAGAAGGTTCATGGGTTAAGAAGGTGGATGACATGAGTCCAAATCCTAGCTCAGAGACTTAGAGTAAAGTATTTAACCTCAGTGGCCTCAGCTTCCAAGTAGATCAAAGTTTCCAACTAAAATCAAAACCTTAGTCAATGCATAAAAGACTTGTGTTTACTAATGGGAAAGTTACCATACCAACACAACTTATAATAAAAATTGGATAAATAACTAGAAATAAGTTTCAGTGCTTTTAACTTTTAGGATCTTCCCCTTCAAGAAAAATCTTTGGAATCTCAGAGAATTGGGGTGCCAGATTTTAGCTACCAACATAACTATAGCTACAAATCTTAGATTATACATATTTTCTTTGCATTTTTTCTTCTACCCACAGCAATGATTTTCTGGGCTACCATTCTTCCTTCAGCAGAGGGAATATAGGTGTAAAACTCCTCACCCTACACACCCATTATTCACTCAGGGTCCCCTGCACCCACATTCACATCATCAGTATGAGGTTCTGATAAACACTAAAAGTAAACTAATGCTGCTTTTTACCAGTTCTGTTTCCAGGGCTTTTATTTTACTTTCATAAGTAGCTCTTTGAGAAGACAGCTCTTGCTGAGCCATTTCTTTTGCAATCTGGATTCCTTGCATCATTTCTTCCTTAGCTTTTAACCGTGCCTCTTCTATTTCTGCTTCAAGTCTGTAAAGTGGCAAGAAATCTATAGTATTCATTTTCTAACATTTCTGTTTGCCAAGAAATAGTTCCAAACCATGGTCAAATGTTTCCTATTGAAGAATTATTTTTATCTAAAAACTTTAACTATGACAACTTTGTATTTATTATATAAAAATGCAATTTTATGCCCAGAGGAAATTTGTTCACATTCCTTAATACAAAGATATTTTACCAAAAAAAAAATTGATGATGGTTACAACAAAAATTCCACATGAAAATCAATAACATCAAAGTCAACTTTTGTTTATAACTTAAGAAAATAAAATTCTGAACTGTAACAAAATTTAAATGATGATAGGGCTATTATAACCCTCAAATTCATTATATTTCAAGTTACCTGTTATAATTTGGCTTGACAGATGAAACTGTATTACAAAACAATTTTAAAGGACTTAGAATGTGCTTTCTTGCCTGTGAGTGAAAAAATAGGCTTTCTTCTTTCTTCTTCAGGTTTTAGTAAAGGCAAAGCAAAGAAATTAAAGAATAAGGAGGCCAGTGGACAGAGGCAAAAACAGTATCAGACTTTGTTAAAGAGCATCATGGATAGTAGGATAAGTTTACTTTAAACCAGAGATGTGACAAAGTGTGTATATAATGTCACTATAGTATCTTATTTATCTATCTAAAATATCCTAATCCAATCTGCTAAGGACTAATTCTTTTTGGCAGCTGCTGCTATTTCTATTACTGTAAGAAGGGATAAGCAAGAAACCAGAAAAATGCACATGCAGAGGTAAACCTATTTTTAAGTCTGGGGAAAAACTATGTCCTTACTAACTAGCAGAAAAAAACTGAATACTAGATGGTTGCAGGATGTATCACCATATAGCTACTGTTTACTCCTGTGCATACAGAATTTGACACCTAATACTATCAAGAGAAATACTTACTGTGATCTCTGAGCCATAAGCAATTCATTTTTTGCAAACTCAAAGTCTTTTGGACCATCATTTGTAAGAACAGACCCACAAAATGATATTTTTCCTTTCTGTACTTCTACTGGATGATTAAATCTAAAATAATGATCTCCACCAAGAATGACACGATCACCCTTTAGGGAAAAAAAAAGGCATATATTTATTAAATGAGGTTATTTGAATGTTGGGGTAATTAAGAAGAGCGAAAAGATCAACTTAGCAAAACGAGGGAGAGGGACAGCTAGGTGGCACAGTGGATGGAGCACCAGCCCTGGAGTCAGGAGGACCTCAGTTCAAATCCAGCCTCAGACACATACCACTCACCAGCTGTGTGACTCTGGGCAAGTCACTTACACCCCAACTGCCTCATTCAAAAAAAAAAAATGAGGGAGGGTAAATCATGTATAACAATTATACAGTTTATTAAAAATTTAACTGCAATGTTAACTTTTTTAGACATAATATTGATTTCAAACATTTTTAAAAATATATAATTTTTATATCAATTAACTTACATGATGCAGAATTGTGGATTCTGAAATATGTTTTCCATTTACATATGTTTTTGCATCTCCTAGTGGAATAATACTGACTGTTCCACCAAAATTTTCAATAATACTATTAAAATAAAAAGCAAAATTATTACAAGTGTAAGACACACAAAAGAGAAAAGAAAATTGACTATTGTAATTAGGCTTCTCCTTGTGGAATTAAAGTTTATGTTTAAAACTTTAAACTTTAAAATAATGTCATAGTCAATGTATATTTGCATGAAGAAATTCTTTAAACATTGTCTTGTTATATTAGAAACATTTTTAATCATCACAAGCAAGAAAAGAATTTGAACAAGTTAAGAAAACTATATATAAGAAACAATTCTGTCATTAGAAAATTAGAAAACTATAGGGCTTACGGCAGGACTCATTATTGACATTCCAAAACATTTTCACTAGGACCAACATAAATTTTCAACATAAATATAAAAATTCACAAAGTTAACTGTACTTTCTTTTAATTAATTCCTTTGGTATATATATTTTCAAAATAAACTAAGTTGCACAGTGCTGGCAAGGAAGAGGAAAGGGTCATGGTGATGGGACAGGTTGAGATGGGTCAGGCCTAAAGATGCAGCTGAGGGCCCCCCATCCCCACATGCACTGAGGAGATATGTACAAAAAGCAGATGATGATGAAAACGACCCCGATGAAGATCAAAGAGAGATGAACGAGCAGGAAGATGAACTTGAAGATGACCCAAATGTGGTAAAAGACTATAAGGATGTGGAGATAGTCATCCCATCTTTTTGGCATGATATCATCTTAAAAACAGGTCTGGAAATTTCAAGAAACAAGTTTATTTCCTTTTATTTAAAGGATATATTTTCTTAGAATATCATTGTAACATCCTTTGCAAAACATGCATGAATTTGTACTATTCACATATATAACATAGTACTCTAGAGGATGCTAAACAGTACTGAAAAAAAGGAAGGACAGCTGAAAACTGTCTCTGATGAATTAGCTATCCTATCATATACCCTCAAAAGTCATGTAGGGATTCCCAAGAGAACAAAAGATGAAAAATTGGATAGATGTAGTGAGTGAGTGTGTGTGTATGAAGGTGTAAACATTTTAAACTATAACTATTCTGTAAGTTTTTAAAACAAGTCTCAACAGTTAAAATTTTTTTTAAAGACACTGTTTTTGTGAAATAACTTACCAGTGATCATCAGCAATTAACACCCCTGATAACTGAATATCATGACCTGAGTTGGGTTTATACTTTCCAACAGTGGTTTTTCCTTCTTTTATCATATAGAGTAACATCTCTGATAGTTGTGGATCTTCATTGAGATTGACAAGGTTTGGTAAACGGTTATCCATTTTGAATGTAATTCCTGCTTTCTAGTTAAATTCATTAAAAAACAAAATGAACTTAATTAGATGCAACAATATTTCTACTTGTTTAAAATGAAAATTCTACCTTTTGAGCTGCAGTCACATGTTCCCAACTGCCTATCAGATATCTCAAACTCCACAAGTTCAAGATGGAACTCACCATCTTTCCCCCAAAACCTACCTTTATCTCAAACTTCTCTATTTCTATCAAAGGCACCACCATATTTCTAATCATCCAGGTTCAGAATCTTCCTGTTCAACTTGATGCCTGACCAAGAGCCAATTAGCTGCCAATTTTTTTCATGCCTACTCCCCATAGAATCTCTCAAATACATGCCTTTCTCTTCAGCACACAGCCACTACCTTTGTTCAGGCCCTCGTAATCTCCTGCCTACACTATTTCAATAACCTCCTAACTGGCCTTTCTGCCTCAAGCCCCTCTGCACTCCAGTCTATCTTCCACACAGATGCCAAAGTGATTTCCTAAAATACTGGTCTGTCCATGTCACTACCCTACTCAATATTCTCCATTAGCTCCCTATTGCCACTAGGATCAAAAATAAGTTCCTATTTTGTTTTTAAAACCCTTTCTAATCTTAGCATACATTACCCACCTTTCCATATCTATGGTCCAACCAAACTGACCTTCTTGCTATTCCTCATACATGACTCTTCATCTTCAATCTTTGTCCCTTTGTACCCTATACCTGAAATGTATTCCAATTTTGCCTCTGCCTCTCCTTCAAAAGTCTATTCAAGAATCTACGTCTACATGAAGCCTTTCCTAATTCTCCCAGCAGCGAGTGCCCTGGCCCCTATACTTACTTTGCATATACTTATTTATATACATGTTGTCTCTCCTGAGAGTCCTTGCCCTCAAAGCGAGTGCTGTTTCATTTTTAATCTTTGCCTCCTAAGCACAGTTGCTGGTACACCGTATGCACTTCAAAATGTTTGTTGATTAAGAAACATAATATGAGTACTAACATTCAGCATGAAACTTCAAAATAGAATAAAAGCATAATCTATAATCTCCTCTTTACTTCTACATTTCTTTTCCCCCCATTACTCTTTTTTTTAAGCAAACCTTTTTTTTATTTTTAAGCAATTGGGGTTAAGTGACTTGCCAGGGTCACACAGCTAGTAAGTGTCAAGTATTTGGTCTAAGGCCAGATTTGAACTCAGGTCCCCCTGAGTTCAGGACTGGTGCTCTATACGCTGTACCACCTAGCTGCCCTACCCCCCATTAGTCTTAATGGCACCATCATTACCCTGGTCACCCATTTTAAAGAACCCTAAAGTTCTTCTCCTAGCACTATGCCAAATCCTACATCTATACTCCACATACCAAATTCTTTCATGCCTAGACTATCCTAATAGCCACTTTACTGGCTGGCCTTCCAGCTTTCAATCTTTCACCCCTCCAAAACCATCTTGTAAACTTCTGACTGGTTAATTTTCCTAATTCACAGCTCTGAGATAATCCTGGTGCCCTTGCAACTCACAAACCTTCAGTGTCTACAGAATAAGCCAAAATCCTTAAGCCCATTATTTAAAGTGGGATTTAATGTTTAAGCTTTTAAATAAATAATTTGGCTCCCACCTACCTTTCCAATTTTATCTCCTACTACTGCCCAACATGAACCCTCAGCCAAAGTATCCACCAACCAAAAGGCTGTACCTTTTTTCCCCTCTTCAAGTATTCTCCTCACTCTCTTACTAGCAAAATCCCACCCAAATTTTAAGGTCCAGCTCAAATCTTACTTTCTCCATGAATCCTTCCCTGGGGGTAGTTAACTTAAATAGAATTGATCTCTTCCTCCTTAAAACTCATGAAGCATTTGTTTGTGCCACTTACTTTATAGATAGATTTGTTAGTTATTTTTATTGTGCCTTATTTTGACAACTAACTTATGTACTTCTGGAGAGCACTGGCTAGAGGCTTATCATCCTTCCTATCTCAACAACAACTATTTTTTTGTCTTAGAATAAAGTAATACCTGCAACTCCTTCGTTTCTTGAAGCTTTCTTTTTTCTGCTTGTTCAAGTTTTTCTCTCCATGCCCTTTCCAGAAAGAAATTAATTGAGGTCCACATTATGACACATAAGAAAGAACATCCTGACCATAAGAGGTACTAAATACTTGAATCAATTACCCAGGGAACTTAAGGCATTTTTTATTCTGAAACTATTTCAAAACAGAACAGATTAAGCCCAATTTTTTGAAAGCAGGGGAATGTACTTGGTACCTGGGAAAAACTCCCCACTAATTCTAAGATTCCTAACAGTACATACATTTAAAGTTTAAAATAATTACCTTTGCATTTCTGCTATATCCTTTTCTTGTTGATGAAGTTTCATTCTTAAGGAAGTTATTTCTTGCTGACAGCGTCTGTATCGTTCAGGGTCAATATTCCGAGTGTTTCGCTGAGTGGCTTTCATCTTTTCAATTTCTGCTTTTAGTTCTAAATATTTTTCCCAAAAGAAACATGCAAATATAATTAATACATGGCATATCTGATGGTGTAACTCTTCATTTGTACTTTTAAATCTTTTTTTGTGGTACTTAGAGCACTCTTGACTTAGGAAAAAAATGTATTTTATCTTAATTTTTAATGACATAAACGTATGTTTAGAATGAACTTAAAAGTGTTTCCATATTAACAAAAAGAAGTCTGTCCCTTCCCTAGATGACAAATCAAAGAAACAAGATAGTATACTACTGCTGTATAAAAGAAACTGAATAACAAATATTTTAAATACCTACATACTAAGTATGTAGTTTACAAAATACCTCCAGATAGATATCTCACTCCGTATCTTAGACATTTGCTGAGAATTCCAAATAATTATGAATATTCAAGTTCTTAACTAACCTCTGATAATTGTTCCTAAAATAGCAATTCAAGAAAATAATCTATGATAATTATCTTTCTGTCCAGAAATATTTCTCCAGAGATTTCCAAGATATAAAAGATTTATTTTAATGAGGACTATCATTTGTCCTCATTACATGAAACACAGAGGTAGCTAGGTAGGGAAGGTCTGTGTTGTGGAATAAGAACTTTACAATTCTTGGTTTTTCCTAGATCAACTGCTATATGAAACTGTGAGCAATGAGAGCAGGAGATGGGGAAGATGATGGATCCACATGTAACATAAATAATTGTCCCATTTCCAAAAAGGATTATTCAACAAGGAAAGGCTTTGTTATTTGTAGAATACATAAGTCAAGATATGAATGAGAATTAATAAGTTATTAGAAGAAATTAACTTAGAAAAGCCAATGATAAAAATTCAAATCTAAGTTGTTTCTAAGTCACTTACCTAAACAAGGTAAAGTAGGAATTAAGAACCCAGGGATGGCAGTAGTGAAAAAGAGTCCAAGAAAAGGTTGGGTCAGTGGGCAAGAATGGGAATTTTTGTAGTTTGGAACACAGAAATATGCAGCAAGAATAAAGAGTTCCTTGAAAATGACAGGTAAGTGGATTAAAATTCCCAGCATTTCCTGACTGGACTTTTCTTGGACTCCTCTTCACTACTGCCATCCTTGGACTCTTCATTCCTAGTTTGTCTTGCTTAGGGTCTTTATTCTTCCTCTATATCCCTCCCTTTATCATTCTCCCTCGATCACACTGGAATGCTGTTAAAATCAGGAACTGAGAAAAAGGACATGGACATTTTTATAATGCACCAACTTCAGTTTTGAAATCATTTATTAGGCTACCATTACATCTATTACACACAACAAAATAAATATGTTGATAGAAAAATGTTATTCACCTCTAATTAATTTGGCATTCACATCTTCATTTACTTTGGCAATGTTGATTATCAGACGGGCTTGCTTAGCATACCGAAGTGTGCTTAACGTTTCTTCTACGTTACTAGCAGCAGGGCTAATTGTAGCAATCATTGCAGTTTTTGAATTTCCACCTAAGCTTTCTTTTAACAACCTTTAAGAAAAAAAAATAGTCTTTACTCTAACAAGAACTTAGTACCAGTAATTTTCTAATATCATAAAATTAAACTAATATAACATATACTCTTATCACAGATTAAATGCCATTTTAAGGGTTTTGAGAATATGTAATTTATGTAAGAAGTTCATGAAAAAACTATTAGCCAATTTTTAGTTTTTATCACAAAGAAGTATTTTAAGGCAAAATTTTAAAAGATATTAATTAGCATCTACTTGATTATTATATGCCCTGATGAGAGGTGGGGTGTTAACTTATACTCTGCACTAAAGCTATATCATAAACAAGTAGTCTTAGTTCATTCCAGCTCTTGGTTATCAGTTTATAAACAATATCCCCATTATCTAAAAGGGCTTGATCTATGCTGAGCAAGAACTTATACACTGCTTCCTTTTGACTCCTTACGTAGATGAAAGGACTTTTTTCCCTTTCTGAATTGAGCTTTTAAGAAATATAAGGAAAAAACAGTTTCCTATAGATTTAAATATTGCGCATGTCTAAATTTCACACTATTAATTCCTTTTAAGACATCAATCATATGACAGATCTAAAATCATCATTCATATGATCTGATTAAATAAAATGATATTACAGTGCATTAAATTATATATTATATATTATATATTCTTAAATTAAACATGTTAACTAGCCTAATTAGCAATGTGAAGTTGATTCCCACTTGAGGGGCTTTGCAACATTAAAAAATGCAAATTTCTTATACAACAGCTGATATAAAACAAATTTTTGCAAAAATTGTATTAAATGAATTAACCAGTTGAAACTTCATCTATATTCCAAGAAAGACGTCAGCTTTGTAAGAAAAAATTTCTAGAATAACAATGAGAGGGCCTGAGATTCCCTAGTAGTAGAAATGACATTAAATTTGCTTTTATTGAAAATTTTCTAAGCCAAAAAATTTCAATATATCTAACAAATGAAACATCTTACAAGTCAGATTATTCCCTTAATTCAAAAAAGTATTTATTGAATGTCTAGTACAAAAAAAAAGTACTTGTGGGGAAGGAAAAAATGAACCAGAGCTGAAAAGAACAGAATGAAAAAAATCAGAGAATCTCAGAATGGAAAAGGATCTCAGAGGCCACCTAGTACCTAACACATACCTAACCAAGAATTCCCTCTACAATATAATCAACAAATAAGTCATCTAGCTTTTGCTGAAAGACTTCCAATGAGAGGGAACCTGTTACTGCTGAAGCAGGCCTTTTCCCTTTTGGGTAGATCTCATCAAAAAGATTTTCTTTACAAAAATCTTAGAATAGCTTCTACCTAAAACTTCCTTTCAGTAATCTTAATTTTGCCCTCTGGAACCAAACAGAACACATCTACTCTCTTCCCTGTGATAGCCCTTTTGAAGGGAATTTTCATGAGCTGCCTAAGTAGCTTTCATGAAGCTACCTAAGTTATCTCTCCTCCAGTGCACTTTCTCCAGCTTCCTATGGCACAATTTTTCACCTCTCCACCCTAAAGGTCGCCCTCCTCTGGGTGCTCTCTCATTTATCTAAAATGTAGTACCTAGAACGAAACTTAAAACTCTACTTGTGATCTGACCATGACAGAGTACAGAAGTATTATCATCTCTCTAGTACTGCATTCAAAATACTCAAATGGATCAATAATCATATTGATTCAGAAGTTCCCTCCCATGATAAAGACCATAACCTATCCATTCCTGACCATCTTGTATAACTCTTGTCCATGTGTTTCTATAAGTTCATCATAAAAAAAAACCACCATCTTACATGCTGAAAGTCCTTCCCCATTCTCCTGGACATTGCAGGGGTACCAACAGAGTACTCTAGCTGTATCAATCACCCCTCACTTTCACCATGGCCCGCTTTTCTTCCTATATAAAAATTCCTTGATAACATATTTTACTTCTGTTCTTTTTCCAAAATTCTCACTAGTTAATATATTATAGCCTGCTTATGCCCACCATGTATTTTTCCACTGCCTCAGTGTGACATTTATGTTTAATTCTTCGAAGACTGTTGAATTTCACATCTTGCTTCCATATAGCAAGAATGACTGAACTTTTAATAGAAATATTAAAAGATGGGCCTTTGCTTTCATGAAAGCATGGCACTGGAAGTCCTAGATACTAGGCTTGTTTTTTTTTTAATGTATTCTAAGACTGCCTGAGCATTTAAGGTTATCATATCACAATAGAACACATACTAAAATTAAAGTCCACCAAAATCCCCAGATATTTTTCAAATGGACCTATTCCTCACTATACTTCCTCCCTCTTAAACTTATGAAGTTGATTTCTCAAACCCAAAATAATATCCCTATTATTCAACTGAGCCCAATGATCTAGATCAGGTCTGCACAACATATGGCCCGTGGGTGGTGTACCATGTAAGCCTAATCTAGATGGTCAAGATCTTTTAAAAATATATCCTAATTCTGTCATCTAATGCTAGGTATCCCTCCCAGCTTTGTGTGATCTTCAAATATAATGAGCAAGCCATCTATGTTTCTTCAGGTTTCTGATAAAAATGCCAAAAGGTAGAGGCCAAGGCCAAACACTGATCCCTAGGGCGCTCCACTAGATACTTCTTACCATGCTGACATCTAACCATTAACAATTACTTTCTGGTCCCAGCCAAACAGTTCTGAAATTATATATCTACACTATTATTTAGCCAACATTACTCCATCTTTTCATCATTTTGTTCTATTCTTTTCCAGTCTAAAATTCACTTCTCTTGGCACAGAAAACAAAAGGAAAATAAGATCTAAGGGGCTCTGCCTTCTAAGTGTAAGTTATCATCCCACTCACCCTGTATATGAATCCCATCCCTTCTCTGAATCACCTTTTCCCACAATAGAGTAAAAACAGCATCAACAAAACCCCACATCTTCGTTGTCATAGCTTTCATCCCCAGCTTCATCTCATTCTAGCACTCCTGATGCTATTCTAACAGGAATCGCCCACATTTCTGTATTCATCTTGTTACTTGTCTTTGCTTCTAACTTCCATACATGCTTTTCTAAAAATTAAGTTAGTTGATAAATTCCCTGTATATTTATCCAGTATCTTTAGCTATTTCTCCTTTTTTCTCCTTACTAGGATTGCTTATCTTTGTGTATTTAGAATTTCATCTCACTCCTCCTGGACCAATTTCCTCTATAAAGTTTTAGCCCATGGAATACTGTGCTTTCTTTGAACCCTCTGAAATCTGGCCTCCTAAAAGCTGGAATCCATTTCTGACTATATACATGGCTTTTTCTCTCTCACTATTACAAATTCTAAGGTGAACTAATCACCCTTCCTCTCCCAGTAAGGTTCTCATCATTTCCACGCTGGCAACAAGTTGGTGAGAATCAGATCTAAGATAGCATAACATTTTTTTTCTTTTATTGATGTATAATGAATATTATTTCTTTCAGTAAATTTCAAAATCCATGAAAGTCGGGTTATTCCCTATAGGCTTCCAGTTACCAACTGGAACTCCACTATAAAACATCAATTGCAAAGTCACATCTCTGTAAAGTGGAAAAACAGCCTTTCTTCCAAGTGCTTAGGGAATAGTCTAAATATTGTATGTCTGAACTAAGAGATAGACATATATTAATAATCACTATGATAGCACATGAACACATGTAGTGCATGTTATCTTACTGCTGAAGAAAATAAGATTTTAAAAGGTAACTTACAGAATATGAATGGCCATTATGAGAATATATATACTATTTCCCTCCTCAATCAATGAGTTATTTTATATAATAATAATTTGTACTTCAAAATATACTCACCATGTAAGAACAGATTCACGATAAGGAATAAAAACTCTTTTTCGGTTTGCTTGCTCAGAGAGAGCAGAAATAACCTTTCCCAAAGTCAAGAGTGACTTGTTAATACTCACACCTTCCTAAATTAAAAAAGAGCAGAAAAAAGTAACTGACATGTCACAATAATGTCACCTCATCTGGGTCCCTAAAATAAATTTTTTATATTGGTTAACTAAATAAAATTTCTCTTCTACTATATAACTGCCACTTCATCTATGCTTCAAAAGTCTACAAAGATATTACTTTGGAAAAGGAGTTATATAATTAAAAACAACCTAAGACCACAGCCTACATCATACCACAGAAGTATATTCCCATAAAATGCAAATTAAAATGATTACCATTTGAAAATCTTGTGGTCTCCTCCAAATGCAACATTCTTTAACATAAGTTTCATCAAAATGTAACATGGAGAACACTCACCTTTAGCCTCTCCCCACTAGTTTGAATCGCCGAGCAGCGCTCACTGCCTGCCAAATCAATTAGATTTATGCGACTAATGATCCTGTGATCATGTTCCTCCTCCTTCCACAAATTCTGTCTGTAGTAAAAAGATAGTAAAAAGCAGTGCTCTAAAATCAGAGTCAGTTATCCTAAGGCATAAAAATCTTCAAAAGGAAAATCATTATACAACATTGCTAAATCTTTATTTTCAAAATCATTCATTCACATTTTTTTGTGATGTGGCAATTTTATCATGCAATAAAACATTCACACTCTCTATTCATGAAACAAAATAAAAATAGAATTGGGCTTTATAAGTAAAAGAAAAAACAATGAAAGAAAAAGAATGAATTTATTGCTTTAAAAAGCATTACAAACTGTTAGCTATATTGACAGAATGACCCTTTTGGTCATATACTACTAACTCTGCCTCCTTTACGTTATCCACTATAGTATATAAGAGAAAAACATAAGCTTCAATCTCACTGTTGATACATACAAAAACCAATTATCAAAAAGTACCTTTGTTTGGGTCATCACCAATGTAAAAACCGAATGTGAACGGGAACTTTTGTCATTCATACCAGTAGCAGCAGTTGCTCTTTGCTTATTTCCCAATTCAAGCCAGCTCTAATTAAAAAATTAAAATTAAATTAAATTTTAAAAAGAAGAAGGGGAGAAAAATGACAGACTATAGGTAAGGTCAGTCTCATGGCATAGTGAAGAGACTACAACTTTTAGAATTTGAAGACCTAGGTCTGAATCACCCTACTACTCAGATATGTGGCCACAGGCCAATCTTGTAATCTCTCAGAGCCCGTTCCTACACTTTATGTGGAAATAATACTTGTACTATCTTTCTCAGAGGGCTGTTGTGAAGAGAGTCCTTTACACCCTTTAAAGTACTTATAAGGAAGTGAGTTATTAGCAGAATTGAGATATTTTAATCAGTTTTTAGTCTCCCTTTCCTATTTTTTCTCTCAAATCTCAACTGGATAATAATACTATACCTTAAAAAAACAATTCTAGTTTCCTGGGTTGATATAAAAGATGCATTTTTTTATATGAGGAGCAATATATTTCTATCTACAAAACAAAGACAATCCACCAAAAAATAATCACAAAACTGACCACTGGTAGTTAAGGAGAAAAAGTATACAGGAACAACATTTTTATAAGCAATAATCATCTTTGCAAACAGGAAGTTTTTAAATAAAACAGATATTAGATCTTACCTGGACATCAGTGTAGGAACTCACAACATTCCTATTTTTTTTTAAAACAGAAAGGAAAAACAGATCTCACTAAAGATAATTCTAATTTTTTTCATAAAACATGAAAATATATTTCAAATATATTGTAGCTATCTTCAAACATATGACTGCAATAATTCACACATTCTTTATTTGATGTCATTTCCTATTTGGCAGAAACAAATTATTTGCATATGACAGGAAATAAAGTGATAACTCAATCTTAGAGAAAATGAATATTCACTTAATATAATGAAGAAACTTAATACTATAATATCCAACTCTATAACTGTAAAGCTAAATTCTATGTACATGTTTATCTGATTTCAGAACAATTCTGGGCTTGTCAATTGTTCTAATCTCTTAAAAAGTAATTTTGCTCTCCTCCTTGAAGAAACACAGGATAAAAGGCTAAGAGTCAAAAATCATTTAATTTAGTTCAGATCCTTTTCCCCACATCTCCTAGCAGAAATGACACAAGTTCCTCAGTAGAAGTAATGGGAGGTTGGAAGGCGAAAAAAGGGAGAGCTAGGAAAATTGGTTAATCAGAAAAGATTTAATATGTGCTAACTGTGGGAATCTTTATGCCAGGTACTATGGAGGATACAAAAAGAAAGACATGGTCACTGCTCTTAGGAAGTTTTATGATACAGCTTACAAGAGAAGGAAGTATTAGAAAGATAAGTATAGGTGTTGTAGAAAAGGAATGGTGGTCCAGAGTTTCTGACCTGGGTAAGTGGTTAGGAACTTAGAGCTGAGTGTCCGTAGTATAAGCATTTCAAATTCCATATGTGTAAAATCTGCTTATCCTGCACTATTTCTGCCAAGAGTACACCAGTCTTTCATGTTAGAAATGTTAGTGCTATCTTTAATTCTTCCCTCCAATATTAATCCTATATTAAAGTGTAAGTTTCATGAGAACAGAGATCCTGTCACTTCATTTTTCTAATATATTTCTCCCAGCACAAAGCTCAATGCTATTCACAGTGAAGATATCTACTAAATTAAGTGGACAACATTTACTCTAAAAGGCTGCATCTACAGACGTAAGACAGTATTAAAAACACATTCAGTCCCATTTTTCCCTAATCCCATTCAAAACTTACACTGACAGAGCTTCTACATAGGGTCCAGAAACTGGGTGCTCTCTTACTCTGAGCTGGTAAAAATTAATATTAGCATTAGTTAAGTAACATAAATAATGTAAAACACAACTTACAAGCATCATTTTTCTACTTTCTGAATTTAGAGCAAAAAAAAAAATCAGCCTTTTTTTTTTACTCGGAAATAACAAAACATTCTCAAAATTAATAATTTGCAAAGCAGAAGGATGACTGTCCAAACACTAACAGATTTTTTTTAGAATATGTGAAATTCAGTAAACCTATAAGACATAATTTTTATTTTAAGCAAAAGTACTTATGCATTTCCAAAAAACCGTGAATTAATTCAGAGGTGGGGAACCTGCAGCCTCGAGGCCAAATGTAGCCCTCTAGGTCCTCAAGTGCAGCCCTTTGACTGAATCCAAACTTTACAGAACAAATCCCCTTAATAGAAGGATGTGTTCTGTAAAACTTCGACTCAGTCAAAAGACCATACCCAAGGACCTAGAAGGCCACATGTGGCCTCGAGGCCACAGGTTCCCCACCCCTGACTAAGTTCTAACAGTAGCTACTATAGAACTTTGCACAGAAACAGAAAAACTAGTAAGAACTTTGGAACAAAAAGATTTAGGTAATTTCAGTATACTATTATGTATTATGACCCCCCCTAATTTCATAGTTTGAATGCAGCACATTTTAAAGTCTGTCTACAGTCAATATAAGAAAACAGAAAAGTAAAACCATGTAAATGACGTTTAGAAACAAACTGCTAAAGGGACAATAAGTATGCATTTTGCATTCATTGTCAGAAGCAGTTAACATATCAGTTGGTTTTATTAAACTTTTTTCTTTTCTTTCTTCATCTTTATTAGGGGATAAAAGGAAATGAATTTGGAAATGAATGATATATCAACAAAAAGTTATCAATTAAAAGACAAAAAAAAGAAAATAAACTGCTAAATGAAAAACATATATGTGCGTATACATACACAAACATAACACTTCATATATATATATATATATATAAAACATATATTCAATTTGTTTTTATGCCACAACATAACTGGACAAATATATTAACCTCTCTAGAATTCAATTTTCCTCATCTGTAAAATGAGTCTTCTGTGGTCCCTTCCAGCTTTTAAACTATATCATTTTTATGTAAGAGAAAATATGCACTTATATTAAAAGAGAATTTTACATGAAAAGGATATCCACAAGACAAACATGGAATTAATAATCTTTTTAAAAGTTACACCTTAAAAATATACCAAGAATACTTTTAGTGCTTTTTAATTATACATTAGTTATAGATCAGTTAAACTTTTAGGGGGAAAGCTCAGTGGCTTTTTTTTTAACTGAGCACTAGATTAAAATTAAAATGAGTATCTTAACAAGTGATTCAATTTTTATTGTTCATACCATTATTGATTAATGGTAAGAACAATATAGTAACTGTAGTTCACATACATTCCATCTACAGCATCTTCAAAAACTGAAACCATGTATTCACATATCATAAATTTAAAACAAGCAAGCAGAATAGAATTTTGAAATCTTACAGGTTGCTTTTTCTGTCCACTTTCAGCTTTACAAACAAGTAGATCATGAATTTTTTCATTGTAGATTTCAAAGAAACTCATTTCAAGGTGAAAGGAGACCTAGTACAAAGAGAAACAAGTAAAATGAAAATATACCCTTAAAGATTCTTAAAAACAACTGGAAGGCAAGACATGAGGGGAAGAAAGAGTGGAAGACAGTGTTTACTGGTGTTTGTGATCAATATCTAACTATATATGATGTTCCTACCAGTATTCATCCACCAAGTGGAATTGGATTTCAGGAAGACTAAACTGGCCATGAAATGCAGGATGGCTTAGGGAAAAAAATGGTGGCAGGGAGACAGTTAGGAGGCTACTATAGTGATAAACAGAGGAGATAGTGAAGTCCTACTCTTGGTTGGCAGCAATAGAACTGGATGGGAAGGAAACCATTTAAAAGATATTTCAAGGAACGACTGCCAGAGCATGGAAACTCTTTAAATGAAAGAGTCAAATTTAGGATCTTCTGGTGATGACAGGACATTCAAATAGAATAGAAATGACCAATCAACAGGTAACAATATGGGCTGGAAGGGAGGCTAGAGGTAAAGGCACAGATTTGTCCACTATTCACATACATGTGATGATTACAACTTTAAGAATACATTAGGTTTTTTTTAACACAGTAATTATAACAGTGTAAACAGAAAGAATGATGACACATCAAAAAAATCAAAAGTAAACATAACAAAATTATAAAGATCAAGTGGGACTTGAATGAAGAAGTATGAGAAGATACCCTCAAATCCACCCCTGGTGGGTGGAGATGGAAGGTTCACAGGTTTTACACATTACATGTTTTTGGACTTTTTAAATATATCATTCAGTTGTACTGACTTTCTCTTTTTCCTCTTCCTCCTTTTTCCTAGTTTTCCAGGCAACAGCCATCTCCTTAAATACTATTATCTCCTTAAATACTATTTGTCATATGGGATGACTCTCAAGGGGGTGGGGGTGGGATGACAGGAGAAATACATGGGATATTATGGTGATGTAAGAAACAGAAGATATTAATAAAAACTTATTTTTTAAAAAATAATACATTAATTTTTCAAGGAAGAGGCTATAATGTGAAAAGAGTCAAGAACTGAGCCTTGGGAAATTTCTAGAGCTACAATCAGCAGAAAGAATGTACACTGAGTCAGAAAAAAAATTGGAAAGCATCACAAGATACTAGAAAGTGATCAAAGTGGTAAGAGAAGAACCAGGATAGTTTAGAACACTTGGGGTGGGGGTGGGGAAGGGAGGAGAATAGGCAAGTGTTAAATACTACAGATTAATTGTGGAACTAAAATTGAGAAAATACCACTAGATTTGATTGTTAAGCTAATGACAGAAATATGCTTGAAGCACAATATGCCTATACTGAACCTGTGAAGAAAACAACACCACTGTTAACTGTTTAAAAAATTAGTTGGACTTCTTTTTTATCTACTCATCAGTCCAGTTAAATGGGCCTTCTTCTTGTCTTTACACATGACACTCCATTTCCCATCTTTTTTGTCATTGCATAGGCCCTTCTCCCCCTGCAATGCCACTAGAATTTGCTGCCCTTCTCATTCCTATTGGAATTCCTGGTTTCCATCAAAACTCAGCTCAAAATCCCTCTCCTACATGAGGCCTTTCTTGATCCTCTACCCCAACTGCTAGTGTCTCCCCACCAAATGACATTGTATTCATTTTTTATATACTTATGTGTGTACTGTTTCTTCCTATAGAATGTAAGTTTCCTAAGGACAGGCATTTTTCATTGTCGTTTTTATTCCTAGGAGCTAGCACAATGCCTGGCACGTGGTAAGTGATTGATAAACGCTTCTTCACCTTATTGTTGTTGTTGTCATTGTTATTCAGTCTTTTCAGTAGTGTCCAACTCTTCATGACTCCATTTATGATTTTCTTGGCAAAGATATTAGAGTGGTTTGCCATTTCCTTCTCAAGCTCATTTTGCAGATGAGGAAACTGAGGCAAACAGGGTTAAGTGACTTGTCCAGGGTCACACAGCTAGTAAGTGTCTGAGGCCATAATTTGAACTCCAGTCCTCCTGACTCCAGGCCCTGTGCTCTATCCACTGCACCACCTAGTTGCCCAAATGTTTCACCTATCTGTAGTTATACACTACACACATACACATACACACACACACACACATGTGTATGTGTATATATGTATGTATATCATATATGTGTACATATACACACAAATACATAATATAAAGGAGAGACATATATGTGTGTGTATCTATATCTCTACCTATCTATTTGAAAAACAGATGAATAGGTACTTTTCAGTAAGAAGTTAGTTTGATTTCCCAGCAGCAAATTTCCTAAGTTTTTTAGTAAATTACACAAACAGCAAGCATATAAGCAGCAAAAGGAAAGGTGGAGTTTTCAGGCATATATTTCTGAGTTACAAGAAACTAGGACACATGAGAAATCAATGATCCTTGCACAAAATTATGTTTCTATTTAGTCGCCACTTTCTCTTGATTGGAAAAGAAAGCAATCATGGGATGAATAAGGTCTATAAAACACCTTTTTCTCCCTGTTTGATTCGGGCTAAGTTCCCTGAATGTACAGGTAAACAAGAGTTTTACTCCATCACATTTATGAGGTAATGTATATTAACAGCTGAAGCAGCTAGGTCTGAGCCCCATCATCAAGGAGATGGCTCTTGCCCAGAAAACTAGAAGACAGGCAACAAGCAACTAGCAGTAGCAGTCCTGCCTTGGATAAGTGCTACTGGTAGAGATACAAATCTCCAGACATCTTCAAAGAGACTTGGTAGTTCATGTGGAAGAAGCTGATTTAATTATGGTACAAGAGGTACTAGGAGAATGTACATTTTTTCTTCTTTTGTACTTTTCCTATAAAATAGGGTTTTCCTCACAAAATGAAGATTAATTGTGCATTATATAACTATATATTGAAAATAAAGAATAATAGTATGTAATAACACTGGCTAAGAGTTCATTTATTTTTATTCTCAAAACATTATATTTAAAAAGTCATACATCTAAGTCAGAGGTGTCAAACTCAGCCTCAAAACTCTTGAGTGCACGAGGCAGCTAGGTGGCGCAGTGGATAGAGCACTAGCCCTGAAGTCAGGAGTACCCGAGTTCAAATGTGACCTCAGACCAAACACTTGACACACTTACTAGTTGTGTGACCCTGGGCAAGTCACTTAACCCCAATTGCCTAAAAAAAAAACACACACACAAAAAAACCCAAAACTCTTGAGTGCAGCCTAAGTCTTACCAACATGTAATTGGAAAATGTTTCACAAAACAAATGAAAATACAATAAAAATAGGTGTTAATCTGTGGCTTTCTTAGTCAGTACACAGCCCACAGGGATCCATTTCTACTTGAGTTTGACACCACTGATCTAGGCAACCACCAAAGTGAGTACCAATATCATTTTTTTTTTTAGGCAATTGGGGTTAAGTGACTTGCCCAGGGTCACACAGCTAGTGTCAAGTGTTTGGTCTGAGGCCGGATTTGAACTCAGGTCCTCCTGACTTCAGGGCTAGTGCTTTATCCACTCAATATCATTTTTAGTAGCTTACTCAAATTGCTGACATGGTCCTTGGGGCTTAGAGAGCATTCAAGGGAATGTATCTTACTTTATATAGGATTAGCTCACAATAGATGTCACAAAAATATTTTTATTTTTTGATACAGAAGACAGAGAATATGATCGTTAGTCACCTCTACAGGTCTCTACTTGTCTATGAGGCAGTAGTTGGTTCAGTGGATACACCACTGGGCCTGCAGTAAGGAAGACATGAATACAAATCTGACCTCAGACATTTACTAGCTGTGTGACCCTGGACAAGTTCAGTTTGTCTCAGTTTACTCAACTACAAAATCGGGCTAATAACAGCACTTACTTTACAGGATCGTTGTGAAAATTAAATTAGATAATATTTGTAAAAAACACTCAGCATAGTGGCCGGCACATAGTAGGCACTTATATAAATGCTTATTCCCTTCTCCCCTTTCTCTTCCCAGCTATGGTGAACATACACAGTAGATCAGAGTAACTAAAGGTCTTAATCATCATACATATGCCACAAATACCAGGGAAGTTGCAAAGACAAGACAGATAAGCCAATCATCATGATTTACTGCTAGGGACAGACAGGTTCCCCAATTTCAATTTTGCCCCCAAAATACACACACACACACACACACACACAAAATGTAACAATAAAGAAAGAATTTGAAATAAAATCTGTCCCCTTATAACATTTTATTTACTACCTCAATTTGTTTTAATTAATAAGCTTTCTAGTCCACTTCTCCAGAATAAACATATAGCACACAAATACTCCAAGGTCATACCTCTTGTGTTTCTTTTTTGGCTACTTGAGAAAAGAGATCTTCACAAAATCTGGGAATTATCCCCAGTTCTTCACCAAATCCCATCATGCTAGAAAGAAAATATTATATAATAAGGAAAGACTATAACTTAAAAAAAAAACTACTTTCTAGTTTCTTTGGCCATGATAAATCAAAATCAGACATTGTATTATGTTATGTTATGTTATGTTATGTTATGTTATGTTATGTTATGTTATGTTATCTTGACTATATCCTTAAAACATTTAAAGCCATTAGAGGAAAAACTGAATGTCCAATAGAAACTTATTCTAGTTTGAGTGGTAAGAATTCTGAAGTAAGATAAAAGATAAGTGGCAATAGAGTACTCCCCATTCCCAACATGTGCCCTAACTCTGTGGCAATTCTGCCATAAGTTTATTTATTTAAGGTTTAATAAATACATAATTCAAAAGTTTAACAAGCGTCTAGACAATTGCACATACAATAAAACTTACGTATATGATTTTCCAGAGCCGGTCTGTCCATAAGCAAAGAGACAAGTGTTATATCCTTCAAAGGCTCTTTCCAGGAGTGGCACCGCTAATGTCTCATAGACTGTCATCTGGCTTGCATAGTTAGAATGACATTTGTCAAAAGACCAGAATGAAAAATCATAAACAAAATTATAAGTTTGTTTCATGTCAGGATGTTGCACAGTTGTCTCTTGGCCATTCATGAAAACTACCTGAGATGCTTTTTCAGTTTTCTCTCTTTAAAAAGAAATAAAAGAGGAAAAAAATTACAATTAATGTGTTTCTTCTTTTTGTCTGGTATAAAATCAAGACCTTATAATTATTTGAAACATGACTGTCTTTCATAGGATAACTTCTACTTTTGAAAATATAACTGGGAAAATATGCTTAATAGGAATGTAAATGTATAGCCTATATCAGATGGTGTGCCGTCTTGGGGAGGGTGGTGAGGAGGAAGGGGGAGAAAAATTTTAAACTCAAAAGCATATGGAAGTGATTGTTGATATATCAAAATAAATTAATAAAGGGGAAAAAAAGAAAATATAACTAGAAAAATATATAGCTGAATTTTATATGGAGAAAAGACACGAAAATGTTTACCTACCTATTATTTCCTTAAGTCTAACTCTTACCTCTTTTCAGTAGGAAAAAAAAAGTCACATCTCCCATCAATTATAATATAGCTTGGATGACATGTATCTATATAGAAACCTCAATGGATAAAGTCTTTTTGGTACTTTAATAACTAACACCCTCAGAATGAAGTTCAGTATGGACCTACCATATACTGAATTCCTGTCTGTAGTAAATGTTATAAAGTGACAGTACTCTGTGTGTGTCTGTGTATATGTGTATCTGTAAATTTCAATTCTTTCCAAAAAACTCATGGATAATCTATCAAATATAGTCTATTTAAACATATGTTGTCTCATAGTATTAAAGGCAAACACTTGAATATTGTATTTTTTCCCCATTATTATCAATATCTACTCCAAGGCCTTAAGTTTCTTCACTACTTTGCCAGCAACTTTTTCTACCATCCTAAATGCATTTTAATCAATATTTTAATTTGAAAAATGACCTTACTATAAATTACTGGATCTATTTGAGTTTACAAGTTTATTGCTCCTAGTCTAATTAGTTTGCCCCTTGAGATTAACAGGGAAAGGATTATCTATTTCTTAAAGACAAAGAATAAATACTAAATGCAATGCTTGCTGTGATATTTTTCTTTTTAATAGATCTGTGATATTATTAGCATAGGGAGCTGTCAATGAGGAGCCTTCTTCTACCGATGCAAATCACACCTGAGCAATTTATAGTCTCAGTCCAGGGCATTGAGACTTGAGTGAATTGCCCAGGGTCACACAGCTTAGTGTCTGAGGCCATATTTGAACTCAGGTCTTCTTGACTCCAGGCCTGGCACTTTAGTCACTGTGCCAACTAGCTGCCCCTTTACAGTAATAGGGAAGTTTAAAAGAGGGGAGGGTTTGGGGGGAAAGTTAATGAGTTCAGTTTCAGGGGTAGGGAATCTATGGCCTGGAGGCTGCAGGTGTCCCACCCCTGGTTGCTGAGATTTCATGTATCTCCAGGATAGCCAGTTCAAAATGTCCAGTAGGCAACTAGAAATTTAAGGACTGGAGCCCTTATCTGTAAAATGGGACAGGAGGGGAGCTAGAAGACATCTAAGGTATCTTCTAAATATATGTTTACACTTACACATAGTAGGACTGAATTTAGGATTAGACTATGCTCTAGACTAGGTTAGTCTAAGTTCTAGACTCCCTTCCAACTCTAATGATCTATGATTCTAAGATATCAAACTTCAATTACCCTATTTCCAGGGTAATAAAGAGATAATCCACAGTTTACCAATACTGCTGCAACAATTTTGAAACATTTTTCTGGTACTTTCACTGTTAATGTTAACTTCATAAAATTACAAATATACACAATTTAAATCATTTGAGTAATTTTTTTTTACAAATGCTAAAAAGTCTTGAGTCCATTACACTGACAGCTTGAAAACATCAAATATATTGAATTCAGTTAACTTCTGACCTTACTAACAAGGTCCCATAGACAAAGTATTTAAGATAGGGGTGGGGAACCTGTGGCCTTTTAGGTCCTTAAGTGTAGCCTTTTGATTGAATCCAAATTTTACAGAACAAATCCTTTTATTTTTTATTAATACATCTTTGTTCATCTTTTATATTTTTATTTTCTTTTTAAAATTAACATATTTAAAATACCAAAGAATAAAATAAGTTTCAACAAAATAATCCTCCCAGATTGACCAGCACAATTAGAACATTAGTAAGCCATAGGGCTAAATGGATGGTTGCTATGCTCATTATTTAATTCTAACTTCCCACATCTGACTGGAGCTACTACTGCATAAGGCTGGTTGATGAGAGTTTATGAGGGTTGAGTATACCAGTCTGTTATTAGCTTTTGACAATGGTGCACTGTGTTTCTGTTTGAAGTGGAATTTGTGAATAGCTGCACAGCTCAACATTATTTTTTAATTCTGTCTGCTTAATAGCCCATCATGTCAAAGACCACCAAGAGAACACTGAAGAACGAAAACAGATTTTTTAATGAGGATTGGGAATTGCAATATTATTTTGTTTCTGCTAAAGATAAGATGATTTGCTTGTTTTGTGATACTGTAATATCAACATTAAAGAAATTTAATGCTCATCAGCATTAAAACACTCATAAGGACCACAAATATTTTAAATTAGAGAGGCATGAAAGGTTGCATTGCAGAAATTAAAAGATCAAAAGCAAAAGCAAGACAATTTTTTCAAGCAGCAATAAGACCTGGAAATAATGCCACTGGAGCAACTTATAAAGTAGCTTATATACTCAGGAAAAAAAGGGAAGCCATTCAGTGATGTAGAAATTGTGAAAGACTTCAATGTCAAAGTCGTAGGATGCTTAGACTCCAATAATACAAACAACTGTTTCTTTCAAGGATAATAACTGATTGGCAGCATGAATTAGCCTTCAACTTAGAAGAACAACTTCATGCAATACTTCAAAAGGAAAATAAATTATTAAATCGCTTTGCGTGGGGGCAGCTAGGCGGTGCAGTAGATAGAGCACTAGCCCTGGATTCATGAGGACTTGAATTCAAATCCGGCCTCAGACACATAACACTTACTAGCCGTGTGGCCCTGGGCAAGTCACTTAACCCCAATGCCTATCCAAAAATAAATAGATAGATAGATAGATAAATCACTTTGTATGAATCAACTGATACTACTGACTCGGTGCAAGTTTTATACTTCATTTGGGTCATAACAGAAGATTTTCTTTACTATGAAGAGTAACTCGCTTTGGGCACTCTTGCGAACAGAACATGGGGAATAGATATCTTCAACTTTCAAGATAAATGTCGTGAGCTGGACTGAATTTGGTAAATTCAGCAAGTATATGTACAGATGGTACACTTTCCATGACAGGAAAACATGAAGGGTTTATTTGCACAGATAAAAAAAAGTATTAACAGATCCAGATGCTCTCATTTATTTTCACTATATCTTGCATCAGCAAAATCTTTGTGCTAAAGCTACTTTTTTAAGTGACACTTTGCAACAAGTTATAAGTATTGTTAACTGTATTCATGCAAATGCAACATGGCATCATCAGTTTTGTAATATGCTAAAGTTGAACGATGAGGTATTCAGTGTAGATTTGCCATGTCATTTTAAAGTGCATTGAATATCACAGGGGCAAGTATTACCCAAAATTTTATCTTTGCGAAAACAGATAGTTAAATTTTATGAAGAACAAAATCAGCAATGTGAATTATTGAAAGAAGATTTCTATAGGAATGCTGCATTTCTGTGTGATATCATGTCAAATCAAAACAACTTAAATACTTCTTTGGAAGATAAAACTAAGTCTATATATGATACGGGGCAAAAAAAAAATCCAAGCATTTTAAAAAAAAGCTATCTTTCAAAAGGAAATTTTAGATGAACATTTTCCCTAGTTAGCAAAGGTCATCAATAAGCAGGATGGCATATGCAAATCATTTGAAGAATATGCAGCTATTATAGACCTATTAATTGGAGAATATAATGAAAGGTTCACTGACTTTGAGAATCATGACATCACACTGAAATTACATTTCAGCCTCACCTAGTTGATATCACCAAGGCACATAAAGAACTTACAGATGGAATTGACTGAGCTCTCAGTAGATGACATTTTAAAGTCACTGTTTGATGATAAGAAAGATCCAACTGAAATATGAAAAAATGCAGTAGAATACTCATGCCTTCAACATCATGACCAAAAAATGCTTTCTTGCTTTTCAAGCACTTATGGCTGCAAATCTACATTCTCCTACCTTACCCAAAACAAGACTCCTTTAAGGTCACAAATGACTGCTACCCATCTAGAGGACCAACTGAAACTGTGGACCTCCATGCTGCAACCAAATATTCAAATGCTTTCCAACAAAAAGCAGACACAACAAAATAATTAAAATGCTAGTTAACTTTAAAATTAACATATAGTTTTCATTTTTTGAAAATATTAAGTATATAGTAGATTTTACAAAATAATGTACATTTATAAATATATCTAGTTGAAGTTTCTTTAATGTGGCCTTATTTGATTACAGCTAAACACTAATACAGTCTTCCAACATGAAAAGTTTCCCCACCCCTGATTTAAGGGTTACTTTAAATATAATATTAAAGCAGTTGGCACAGTGCATAGAGTGCCAGGCCTGGAGTCAGGAAGACTCATCTTCATGAGTTCAAATCTAGCCTCAGACACTGACTAGCTGTGTGCCTCTGGGCAAGTTATTTAACCTGGTTTGCCTTAGTTCCCTCATCTGTAAAATGAGCTAGAGAAGGAAATGGCAAATTACTCCAGTATCCTTGCCCAAAAAATCCCAAATGGGGTCAGGAAGAGTCCAATAAAACTGAAACAACTGAACTAAAGTAGTTACTAGCTAACAATTTCTAATACAAGACTAGTTCCCAAAGGTATATTATTTCTCCATTATTCTGAATACTTTAACACATGCAGCACATAAATATTCAGAAAGCATTTTCTTCAGAAAAATTTCTTACATATGTAATCAATCACAAGCATTTATTAAGCACCTACTATGTACCAGGCACTGTGCCAACCTCTGTGGTGGTACAAAGACAACAATGTAACAGTCCCTTTACTCAAAGACCTTACATTCTTTGTTTAAATTCCAATTTTCTAATATTTATAGATGAGGCTCAGGGATTTATTCATGATTACAGGGTTACTGTTCAACCAGAACACAGTTCTCCAGACTACAAATCAAACAACCAAGCATCTGTGAGAAAATATTTGTGGAAATTGAGGTGCTGAGTGGTTGAGTGACTTGCCCCTGGGGTACCCAACTACTAAGTATTGTAGCAGACACTGAAACTCAAGGTCCTTCTAGGTTCCAAGACCCATTTATGTTTGTCTTAGATACTAAAGTGCTTTTGGCAGGCAAAGAAAGGGATTAAGGCAGGGGTGGGGAACCTGCAGACTCTGAGGACCTAGAGGGCCACATCTGTAAAATAGAAACCATAATACTTCCATTTCCACCCAAGGAGCTGTTGTAAAAGTAAGTACTTTGTTACACTTAAATTGCTTTAAAAATGGGATTTATTTTTACTTGTCAAAAACAGATGAAATATAAATGCATTTGTTATAAGTATTTTGGATTTTGATGTCAAAATATGTACATACCTGCTGCTGAAGGGTCTCACTCGTATAGCCACTGTCACTTGACTATTCTCTACCTTCAAATGATTTGATTGTCTATACGTGTTCTGAACTATAGTTTCTTCTCTCAATAAGGTATTTTCTTGTGATCTTTCCCTTTTATTTTCAAGAAAAGAACTAGGTATACTTTTTTGTTTTTGCATAATTTGAAGGCATGTCCTATTTTTTGGAACTGACAAAGCTGTCATTCTCTCCTGAGGAGTACTACTTTTTGGTGTAAATTTGTTTTCTTCCATAATCCATCGTCTGGGTGTTCTTGGTTTTTCCACATTTCCAAATTTATTATTTAAATTTTTCATTGTTTCCTTTCCAACACCTGTATTACTTAAATTTCCTGTTGTAATTATCTTTATATCTGATGTGTTCCGAATAGGCTTCGTTATTGTTGAGTGTCCCAATCTACCAACTTCATTCTGACTTCGTGACTCAATTGCTTGAAAAACAGAACACCTATCATGTAAAAGGTTTCCATTTTCTGCACTGAGAGCTGAACATTTTTCTTTGTACTTTTCATCAATAGTTGTTTTTCTTTGTTTTACATCTTCAACTACAGGTGAAACAGATTTAACAAAAGAGTGTTTATCAGTGTTTATTGTCTTTACATTTTTATTACTCTGTTCCAAAGCAGCCTTCTTACTATAGATTCCAACTGGAACATTTTTATTTGTCTCACCCCTTTCCAGAGAGTCTGTTGTCATACAACACCGCACCGTAAGTTGTCTTCTTGTTTCTTCCTGTGGCTGACTACCAAGCAAAGGTGGTTCTTGAATTTTTCTAGTTCTTCTTTGGAGTGCCAACCTGCCCTCCAAGTTAGGTGTGAGGGGTGAGTCTTGTACATTTTTACAGGCTGAAATAACATAGGTTCGATTTACTTCTTTGATTTTACTTAGAGTTTTTAATAATGGATCATTTTCACACTCTGGCATCTCTGATTTCATATGGTGCTTAAGTCTGCTGCCTTGGGTAAGGGCAGTAAGTGATGAGTTATTTTGTGAAGATAAACCAAGGGTATCATTGCAATTTTGCATAAAAGTTGTATTGTACATTGACATATTAATCACAAGAAGTCTTTAAAAAAGGACTCAAGCTGTGGAATTTAAAATCTTTGAGTATGCATTTAACTTCTGGTCTTTTCTTAATGACATCTTTTTAAAATCTGTCAAATACAAAGAAGAAAAAAATTAAATTTCAGACAAGCTCAAAAGAAACATTTATAACTTAGAAAACATTTTTGGGTATTAAGAAACCTACTACTTATGGAAACCATACTACATATATTAGTAGGACGCTACTTATATGAGAAAGGGATGGGTGGACTTTAGCAAATAATAATATCCTACAAAAGATCACATCTTTACAGTATCACAAATGACTGAAGGTATTAACAAATACAAGTTCCCACTGTGGTTATTGTTTGTTGACTTTGAACAAGCTCTTGATTTGGTAGGACAAAATACAAACTTAAAGATTCCCATCAACAAGGCATCTCTCTTGAATATTTAAATCACACAAGACTTCTTGAAAGACACATCAAAGAAAACTTTATTTGACAATCCTTTTATCTTGTCAACAGAGGCATAAACAGAGTCATATACTTGCCAAAGGAAAAATGTTCAGTGAAAAGTCCAAAGGGAAGATGGATTACCTATAGATAGTGACGTACTACAATGTTCTTATTTGTAGATAACATTGTGCTGATGGTATTGAGCCCAAAAACACTGTAGAGCCTTCTAAATGAGATTCATAATCACTTGAGTGTTCAGCCTATCTACACAGAAAAATACAAGTGAATGAAGTATACCTGTTGTTCAGATGATGACACAGAGTTGAATGGACAGCCCATATAACCATTCCATTAATATATACATCTTCAATAAGCAGAATATATAGACAGACAATGAACTGAACCTGAAATTAAACAGAGGAAGAAAACAAAAGAGATCATTTTGGGGAAGTTGTGCAGTGATTATACCAACTCTAAGCTTTTCCCTAAAACAAATCTTTTAATATCATAATTCTTTCAGTACTGCTAGATAGCTATGAATCATGGAATAACACAATCTCCAAAGAATCAAAATTAAAGGTCACCTAAAAGGCAATAATGATGTGCATAATGTGAATGGACTATAATATATTACCAAAGATGAATTGCATACAACAAACGGCATGAAAGAGAATCAGAGGACTGTTCGGCTAGAAAAGATGAGCTGGTAGGTAGCATCAACAAGGGAAAACAGATTAAAAATCTATGAAAGACAGTGATACTCAAGTAATATTATAAGACCTACAGAAAGGCCCTCAGCACACTGAGTCGTTCTTCCATACAAAATTTATGGATGGATATGTATAAATATCACACAGAGTGAAGTATAGAAGGAGTTAGAGTACAAAAATAATAAACTCAGATCCAATGAAATATTCTATTTAGGATCTAGTATTATAAGTTAAATGTATTTGTATCCCTATTGCAGTACTTTGCACATATATGATGCTTAAAATCTTTGTCCAGTTGAGGATCAATTGAGTTCTGTGACCAGTTCCTGTTATTAAAGGGTAATACATCAATATCTGTGGATGTTAGAGGACTCTGTCCTTCACCTTCTTTGTCCCTCAAGTTCTGAAAAGCAATGGGAAGGGTAGGCTTTGTGAAAGAAGTTTTAGGGAAAGGGAAGGAAAGAAGATGGAAGTACAAATGGGCCATTTAAACAATTATATTCTTATGAAGTCACAAAGGAATAGAGTTGAACAGGCAGGAGGGAAAGCTTTAACTGAAAAAAAATTAAAGAATTAGTCCAATATTCATGTGGCTTATGTTTACTTATTAGAAAATGTAATGGATTTATCATCTTCACTAAATATTTCAGATTAAATGCAGGTCTACAAAGATTATGCTCAAAACTGCTACTATACTAGTACGCTTTCTTCCTATCTTTTGTTGGATTTTTGGTATAATTAAAAGGAGAAGATAACTTATTTAAGCATCAGAGATCATACATTAGTTTGGTCACCATGTAAACTGGTCCTTTGGAAGAAAAATAGACTTCTAAACTGTCCTTCCTTAAAAGTTACTCCTTTATCAATGCCATTTATACAAGTATTGAACATTTTCGATAGGCATTGTATTTTGAAAGATACAAAGATTATGATACACCTTGCATAACCTCAAAGAACTTATAACCAAAATGAGATACGACATAAGTACAAGAAAATTAAATGTGATGTCTGATGACTACAGCAAAAGACAAATGGCACGGTCAATAAGTATTAAGAGTTCACTGCTTGCAATTTTTGCAATGTTAAATAACCAGAAAATAGCAATCTCCCTTCTAGGAATTTACAGTTTAATATCAGACAAGAAGACCAACTAGACAAATGATGGGGTGCTTGAGTGCCTGTACTGGGACCCCAATTTCTCCCTGGCCTCAGAAACACTATCCCTGGCAGGTCCCCCCCACCCCAGCTTACACAAAGCTGGATGAGAGAGTGCTAGGCTGCCCAAGCCCTAAGATTATGTCTCTGGAAGCCTCCCAGTTCCTTAGTAAGCTCCTGTCTTTTGAGAAAACTTTTCCTCATTGCTAATCAGGACAGAGAGAGATGGGTGTCTTGTCTGGTCCAAGGAGTTTTTGTCCCTGGCTGGCCCAGGGACTTTTCCTCCCACCAGATTCCCAAGATCCTCCAACATCTCCATCCCTATCTAGAATACTCCCTATAGCTCCCAAAGACACCTGGACCTTTAGATTACCTAATTAGTATCCCTGGAATTCCTTTCCCATGCCCTTTTCCATATAAACCCCAGCACCATTCTCAGTCTCTCCACAGGTTCCTTAAGAATCCTTACCCGCTGAAAAGCATAAGAATAAGCTTTGCCAACTTGACTCAAAGAATGCTTGAATCTGTGAATTCATTCCAGACAACTCCATCCCGTACTCTGGTCTTTGAGGAGTCTCATCCTCTCAGACCGCAACACAAACAACAAGCAAAGCTAAAATAAGAAAACTATGGCAACCTGGTGTTGTGGAAAGGCCATTATGCTGGGAGGAAGAAACTTGCGTTCAACTCCAGTCCTGCTATAAGCTCATTAGACTGACCTAGAGAAGTTATTTTAACATCCCTCTGCTTTAGTTTTCTGATCTCTAAAATGGTAACACCTGTCCCACTTGCCTCATAGAGTGGCTGTTGTGAAGATAAAATGAAAGATATAAAAGTTCTATGAAAGAGTTAAGCACTCTTACGAATGCACTTTTTAGAACTCTTGTATGTATGAACATTATTATAAAAATGGCTTATCCTGTAATCAAACCAACCTATTAAGTACACTACAAGTTACTGGAAAAACTGCAGAAAATTTTAAAAATAACTTTAAAAAAAAAGGTATGTGGAAGAATTCTAGAAAGCCTCCTAACTCTAAAGACTCAGACGAAGTGATCTTCTAGGTCCCTTCCAGTTCAAATTGTGACCCTACTTTCTAATAATTCTTTTGGGGGACATGAACAGCAATTTCATTGGTGAGAACTTCCCATAAAGAAACTTCCTCAAACAATACAAATCCTCACCTGCTCTGCAACTTAGTATTAAAAGAGGTGTAAGCCGACCTTTACCCAGTGCATTAAGGTTTTCAAAGCCCTTATAATAATCTTTTTGGTGCTGGCAACTCTGTGATGTAAGGGCTACAAATGTTATTATCCCCATTTTACAGATGAGGAAACTGAGGCCGAGACTGATTGATAGATATAGATATAGATATAGATATAGATATAGATATAGATATAGATATATAGATACATATATATATAGATATAGATATATATTTTGCCAAGGGTTAAACAGTCATCTTCTACATTGACTGTCTGGGATAACTTTAGAAGCTAGATCTTTCTGTTTCTGTGACAGCTCGGTAAGGTAAAAGCCGAAAATATGATTATTAGAGGGTGGATGGAAAACCCTAGCACGCGGAGCAGGAGGAAACCACACCCCAACACTTCTCCATCCCTCCCCTCCTCCCCACAGGGGACCAATCCCGCAGGGCCTGATGGGTAAATTATCATTGCCCACCCGGCGTGACAGACAGCACTCCCTCCCCTCCCCCACCGTTCCTAGCGCGTGCTCAGGCATCACGGGGCCGCGCAGCCGCTTCCCTCCCTCCCTGACGTGGAGGTGGGGACGGCTGAAGTAAGCCATGAAGGTGGAAGGCCTCCACTCTCCGGCCCTTGGTCGGCTGCTCTCATAAACCCCTCCCGCCGCTGTCTTCCACCCGCTTGCCCCCTTCCCCTCAACCCGAACCCAGGACCGCCGAGCTCCCCGCAGCAGCAACACTCACCTACACCCCGAACCTGGTCCCCGCGCAGGGCCAGAATTTGAATGAGCGCCCAGCCTGCTGATTGGCTGCCAGAAGCGCAAGTCAGACGCCGCGTCTCGCTTCGCCCCGCCCTCTGCCGGAAGAAACCATAGTTTGTTTGGGTTTGCTCGAGTGTGGCAGTGTGTCCGCTCCACCCATCCGGGCTTCCGGAATAGAGGCTTCTGGGCGCGAGCGGGCAGAAGAGAGCGCAGAGCGGACGTTTCCCCTCCCGGTTTCCTGGCAACGCTGGGTACCGCCCACCTCTTCCCTCCTGGCCGCGTGAATCCTCTTACGTCAGCCTCACTCCCTGGGGAGGAAGAGGGGAGGTGGATAATTACTAGCCGGCGTCGAGGGTCTCGCCTGGGACAATTCACTGAGCTAGGCCAGAAGTAGCCCCGGGGTGACCCTGTGGTGGACTTTGTTGCGAATAAGAGCCTGTTCAAAAGAGGAAAAAGAAAAAAAGCAGAATAAAACGTCAAGGGAAGTCCGAACTCTGAAGCTCAGGCTGGGCGGTAATTCAAGTTGATGGCTACCCCTGCCCACCCCCACGCCCAAAGCGACAATATCCCGGAAAAGTTATATTTAAGACGGTTAGGCTATATCTGGTCGTTGTTACTGCTGGCACACAATAAGAGCTTCCTAAATGCTTGTTGACTGACACTCATACCCTTAAATGATGGAACCAAATCTTTCACCCAACCGGTGGGTTCCTTGCCTTTCCGTGGGTCTGAGCCTTTACTCAGCCCACCTAACCAGAATGCCCTTTCTCCATCACTGTTCCCCTACTTACTCTACCCTAAATCTTCTAACCTGAGAATACAGAGATTCCTAAAATAGTTCCTTTTGATTTTGGGGACAACTTGTATACATAATTGGAATTTGAGAACTGACTGGTGTTATACATGTTATAAAATACCATGAAAACCCTGTGGAACAATGATAACACCTGTCTATATGCTAGCCTATTATGATATTAAACAAGCCCTTGAGATAGTCACTTCTCATGATCATTGCAAAGACTTTTATTCCCCCTTGCCTTCTATGTTTCCAGCAGGGAAGAATTCCCCTACTACCTCTTTCACCAGTTGTGGTACATAGCAACCCAGCCAGTTAACTGACCCCAGACACTTGAGACAATAAAGGAGAAGTTGTGGTACTTGGCAAAGTCCTAGACTTGAGGGGTGTGTGGGGAAAGAGGCATCCCTGCACTGAAGAAGACACTAGGCTTACGAACCCGTTATAGGTGACTCATTAGAAGTTGAAAAAGGCAGTGTATTCCTGATTCCTGGAAAAATTGCTGTGAGGTCAGAGCTCAAGAGGAAACATATAACAGGAAGCAGTAACTTTAGATTGAAAGTCTCTTGTGTATAGAAGTAATGGGATAGGCAGAATTATGTCTCATGTCAAGATCAGGATATCCTGGTGTGCATCCTTTAGTCCAACTAATAGAACAAGGTCCACAGAAGAACTATCATACTAAGTGTCTTTGAACCTTTTGCTGGATACTACTCAATATTACTAGAGGAGTCACCAACTGAGGAAATGTAGAAGGCAAACCTTGCTGGGAGTCTAATAGTATAAGTGACTGAGGTTCTGTATAGGTCTCTGGGGAGGTGGTTATTCATTGGAGGGTAACCTTATTTTCCATGAACTCTGCTCTAAGTTTCAATTTTTTTAAACTGTCAGTAAGATTTATTTGAGGGGTTTTTGTTTGTTTTTTAGGCAATTGGGGTTGAGTGACTTGCCCAGGGTCACACAGCTAATAAGTGTCAAGTGTTTGGTCTGAGGCCACATTTGAACTCAGGTCCTCCTGACTTGCAGGCTAGTGCTCTATCCACTGCACCACCTAGATGCCCCTAAGGGTTTTGTTTTTGTTTTTGTTTTTGTTTTTTTAGTTGCATGTTTAGAAGTTGAGTTGGTAACACCACACTGGGTGGTATCCTACAAAGAATTTCCCAGATTTTCTGAGTGGGACAAAGAAGTCAGAAAAGTGGGAAATCCCCCAAGTATACTGGGCTCTTTAGGTTGTAAGAAAGATTTTGACACAAGCATTACTTTAAAGAGTTTTTTGCTGTGCTTTATGAGGAGGCAACATGATATAGAAGAAAGAACACCATAATTGGAATCAGAAGAATGAGGTTTCACTGAAGCTCAGAATTGAAAGGTGTACCAAATACCTTTACCTAATCCCCTCTGCAATGCTTCCAACAGGTAGTCATCTGGTCTTTGATGAAGCCCTGTAAAATTGAAAATTTATATTAATTCTATTTTTTTATTTTTTATTTTTTTAATTCTATTTTTAAGACATAGTCAAACTGGCATAGGTTTAATACTCTCTCTTTTTGACAGTCACTAGATTAAAGAATGCTATTATATATGAGGCTCCATGTATAGTGAAGGTACTTCCCCCACATGTGTGGCTCAAAGGAAGACAGAATAGACATCCTTAATTTCTTCTTCCCTGGCTCTTCTCCAAGGGAGACTTGAATTCCTGCCAGAAGGGGAAGCAAGAAGTTGGGGGGGCCAGAGGGCATTCTACTCTTCTCAGAGAGAGAGGGTACTAGACTAGGATTATATCTATCTGTTAGCTTAAATATAGCTAGTTTAGAAGATGTGATCAGGTTCAGTCTAACGTCTGATCACTTTCAACTTTGGAGGGAAGGAGGACCCCAAGCTTTCTATCCAAGGCTTGACTCCCTTCCCACCAAACACCTGCCCCACAATAAACGCATATAGCAATTAGTCAGGACACATATTGATCTAAATCTTATCAAAACAGAAATCAGAGATAGTATACGTAGGAGAATTTATACCAGGCAATCGAGAGTGAAGGAACTCACCATTGGGAGTGAAGCAATTCAGTTCAACCGAGAGAAAGGGTCCCACATCTCACCCAAGGGGTAGTTCCCCAAAATCTCTAGTATAGCAATCTGGGGATAGGGATATGATGGAGAATGTCAATTCTTCTAATGTCTTCCCACAGTATTTTCTTTCAGTAATCTGAAATGAGCTTGGCCTCTTCCATCTTCCCACTTGAAGCTGAAAGCCAGACTTGAAAGATTGAAGAGAACTCAAAGAAGATTCTTGAGCTCAAAGAAGGTCTGGAGAGAAACTAAGCGAGAACCAGGCAGTCATCTCTACAAATGAGAGTTGCATATCAATGGTCTTTGGGACTACATTCAGTTTAACTAGGTTTTAACAATTCATTTGTTAAAGTTGTTCATGCTATCGTCCTGGACAAGGTGAAGAGATGAAGACTAGATGTAGATTTGGTACTGGTTGAATTATTAGCTATCTAAGGGTCAGTAGTACTGACCTCAGCCCTTACTGTTCAGTATATGATTTCAATCAAGTGACATTTCGGGGTCTGCGTTTTGAATGAATATTGGGGGAAAATAACCTGGAAGATTTATACTTTGTGGAGATAAGGGTTCCTTCCTTAAGGACTCTGATACCATTCTCATCTTAAATCATACACTCATCAGCAGCACATAGCATGTTTAGCTTTTATAATGATATTAACATCTACCCTCTTCTTTAGATGGCATTGCACAGTTTACAGATCATTTCCTCACAACAATCCTGTTAGATAGGTGTTGAGTTTGTTTGTTAATTTGTTTTTTAATTATACCTGCAACTTCAGTGTTTAAAGGGAACTCCCAAGGAGGATACTCACTCTGCCAGTACAACTGTATACCTCTACACTTGCTTTGCAACTTGTAGTCTTAGAGAAAGAACTAGGGACACTAAGGTTGAGTGACTTTCCTAGGGTTACACAGCCAGTATGTATTAGAGGCAGGACTTCTCTCTAGTCACAGAGGCAGCTAGTTGGTGCAGTGGACAGGGTCAGGAACACCTGAGTTCAAATGTGACCTCAAATACTTACTAGCTGTGTGACCCTGGGTAAGTCACTTAACCTCTGTCTACCTCAGTTTCGTTATCTGTAAAATGGGGATCATAATAGCACCTGCCTCACAGGGTTGTTGTGAGGATCAAATGAAATAATAATTGCAAAGCACTTAGTACAGTGTCTGGCACGTAGTAGGTGCTATATAAATGTTTATTCCCTTCCCTACTATCATGCTACAAATGTCATTCCTGTGATTGTCCACATCTTATGGATGAGGTAACTGAGGCTTAGAAAGGAAAAGTAATTTCGGTCATACAGTTATTAAAGTGTTAGAAATAGAATTTAAAGTTAGATGTCTCCCTAAGTCCACTGCTATTTCCACACCACTGTGCTGGTATGCTATGCTTCCCATGAGGCAGCTAGGTAGCATAGTGGACAGAGTGGTAGTCAGGAAGACCTGAATTCAAATCCTTCTTCTGATACTTACTGGCTGTGCGACTCTGGGCAAGTCATTGAACTTTTGTTCACCTCAGTTTCTACATCTATAAAATGGGGGTAATAATAGCACCTGACTCAGGATTGTGATAAGAATAAAATGAGATCATATTTGCAAAGATGCTTTGTAAACTTGAAAGTATTATATAAATCCTAGCCAATATTATAGAGGCAGCTTTGTGGTACAATAGAGTATTTGTTTATTTCCTCTGGATTAAGCTGTTTTATAGTGACAGTTTGTCCATTCTTGGCATTTTTCATGTTTAGCCTCATTTTCCTTTGCATTTTGGTGAGAATGACCCCATTTCATTGTGCTTAAAGGATCCTTGAAATGCTTCTTCCCTTCCTTGTTATCATGCTGCAAACATTATTCCCACAATTGTCTCCATTTCATAGATAAGATAACTAAGGCTCAGAGTAGAAAAATAACCAGGGTTTCTCATCAGTAACTAGGGTCCACATCACCACTCTCTCAAATATCTCTAATAGTCATTGAAATGTGTTCCTTAAGAGCTGTAGCTTTTAAATTTTATTTAATTTTAGTTTTCAACATTCACTTCCATAGGCTTTATTTTTTAATTTTGGAGGCAATGGGGGTTACATAACCTGCCCAGGGTCATATAGCTAGCTAGTAAGTATCTGAGGCCACATTTGAACTCAGGTCCTCCTGACTCCAGGGCTGGTATTCTATCTGCTGAGCCACCCAGCTGCCCCCAAGAGCTGTAACTTTTGCACCTTTCCTTAGAGTAATATCCATAGAATTAAATACATCACAGAAATTAGGGCCACATATCTGTGGCATGAAATCCAGCACTCAACTATAGACATCTAAATGAAGGCAGGTAAACCAGCTCAGTCCAGCTTCATCTATTTACAGTCAGATATTCTGAGTCAACCTAGTGTCAATAGAATCACACACATGATCATTGCTGTCACAAACTGAAACTATGAAAGCTATTGCTGATCCCATGTAATTCCCATGTCACTATGTGCTATGCCCATGAATTTTTTTTGCTGATTGTAGCTTGCATTGAATCATCCATATTTTCTTTCCCTCTTAGTGTAGCTAGCAGAACAAAAGCCTTCATTTAAGTTGGGAATCAGTTGAAGATATTTCCCAGTCACTTTTTTTTCCCAGAGATGCATTTTTCAGGCAGCTGGGTTGCTCAGTGGATAGAGCATTGGGCTTGGAGACAGGAAGACCTGAATTTAAATCTATCTTCAGGTAGCCGTGTGACACTGGCAATCACTTAACCTCTGTCTGTCTCAGTTTCCACGCGTGTAGAAAAGGGGATAATAACAGCACCTACCTTGTAAGGCTGTTGTAAAGATCAAATGAGATAATATTTGTAATGTGTTTAGTCCAGTACCAGGTACATATTTAGCCAAAGCTTGATAAATGTTTGGGGTTTTTTTCTTCCTAAATCTATTCCACCAATTTATAGAAAATAAACTTTTTTTTTACCAATTGTCTCTCCTTCTTTATCTTTTTCTATCTTCTTCTTTCCTATTATCTTCTTTCTCACATTTCCTCACCTTAACCTCTTAAATAGGGCTCATGGGGCTTGCCTGCAAGGGCAACTGTGAGGGCCAGGGGGCAGCAACAACAATTGTGATCAAGCTCACTCTAGTTCCATGTGGTGCAGAG